GCTAAGCGTGCGTACGTTTGCCTTGATCATTCAGCAGCTGCATGACCACTAAATGTAACCGTATGTCATGCGGTTCAATGTGATTTCTGCTGAGCACATTGACCTTTCCTTTCTCTACGGTTTTCTCTCGATTACAGTGGTGGCCATTTACTTGAGCAGAATGGACTGTAATCGAACACCTGCAAAAGCACCCTGAGAGCGTGTCAATCGCTTCGAGAACAGACGATGCTATGTCTCAGCACCGCACACATGCCCCATACATCTTTGTCATCGAGTGGAATTCGCACAGATTTCTGTCACTGCAGTCAGCATGCGCTATGTTGTGCAAGTGCTGGCCACCTACTACCTTCCCCCTACAGTCGAGCGCTTGAGACCATGCTTGTCCTTTGCTGCCTTCACGCTTTGCCGGTTTTCTGCACGAAGCCCACCCATGCTCTCCTGCCAAATCTAAACTTCTACGTTTGACGCGCTTCCAAGGCCGCAATGTGCAGAGGCTAACCCCACTTGAACCCGGGGAACAGGCCGAACAACAGAACAACATAATCCCAACAGCCGCGAGAATTGACTCATCGTTGCTGATTGCGACAGTGCGTTGCGAGCGGTGGTGCTCAGTCTGACTGCCACGGGCTGTCAACCCACTAACGCAAGGGCCCCAATCCATCTACAGCCGTGGGGGCCCAATTTATCGCCCTCGGGTCCTCGCCCTCCTGCGCTCACCTTCGCTGCTGCCTCCGCCTGCTTCGACAGCGTCTATGAGGGTTCGGAATGACGCTGAGAGAGTTGTCCCTGGCGAAGGTATTGCGGTGGCCAGGGCTGCGCACAGGGGAGCCGCGGTGCTGTAACGTCGTGCAGCCAAAACGGGCTGCAGCTTGGCTGGGCGGTCTGTTTGCTCTTGGGATGCGTGCGGGGGCCGCCGGGGTCTTTACACACTGGACGTGTTTGCAAACTCATGCTGTGCTCGCGCCAGTGCGCGCAGGGAAATCTGTCTCAATTGTTGCGGGCGCTCAACTGAGCGATGATGTAAAGGATAATCCTGCAGAACAAGTGGAATCTGAACAAATCGCGCTTGCCGGGGTTTATGCTGGCGGTGCTGACAGCAGTTTACGAACGACCCCACACGTCTGGTTGCAAGAACATGGAACTGATTCCTCATATTTGCTTTGTTTTCAGCAACACGAGCTTCGAGTGGAGGTGCTCCCAGATAAGAAGTTGACCGTCGGCGTAAGTTGGCCCACCTGTACAAGTTTGCATTCGTAGGCAACAGCCACATGGATAACTTGGCTGTTTTTTCCGCGCAACACCGGTCATCCGAACATCCGCTGCTGGCTACAGCGTTGGTTATAAAGGAAGTCATGCAATTTGCTGGCTACATTGCCTCCAACCAGCAGTGAACCCAGAGTGATTTTCTCTTCTGAGACGTTTTTGATGTCTTGTTGCACAGCTGCGAAGAGGCGATGCTGAGATCTTTGGGGCGCAGATAGGGTTGGGAGAAAAGGTCACCATTCATGGACAGAAAATTGCAGTAAGTTGAAGTGTTTGGCACAGTTTCTGTCCAGGGTACCTGTGCTGTCAGACACTGGCTGTTGTAGCTCTGGCAACTTGTGAATGTTGCTGTTGATGTCCCTGAGAGTGCAAAAGCAAGTGTTACTGTGTTGTGCACAGTAAGAAAACGCACAGGATTGGCGTACGTGCTGCATGTGCAGAATTGACTTTGTCCAATGATGCTCATTTGAATACGAAACTGGCAGTGCAAAGAGTGGTCATGTGGCTGTAACTCAGTCCTGCTGCATGTACTTCAATGTGAACCATTTCTGACTCAGTCATACTTGGGAAGGAGTTCAGGTGTAGGGTGGTTGTACACAACTGATTTATTCTGTAGAATGTGGTTTTGGGAACAGTCTATATTTGTCTTTATACAAACTGCGATCCTGGTGGAGACGATGCGCCAAACTTGCTACTATTCAATTGTGCTGCGACTGCATATATGCACCAAGCTGGTGGGCACAGCATAGTCAGTGATTTGAGTATGTTACAATATGTATTTTCTGTGTAGATCTTCACATATGGAGGCTGCCTCCTTGAGCTTGATGGGGATGCTGAGGTCATGTAAGTGTGAACACAGGACTTTGCTTTGCACGGTACATGGTGTGCAAGTGTATTGGGCTGAATGGTCAAGAATCCTAACTTTGTTGCTTTGAATATCCACCGTTCCCAGCAAGCCTGCTGCCTTTCAATGCATTAATACTGCTTGTCATGGGTGATATTTTGCAACTGTAGTACAGTTGCAGCATGTTCGATCATCTTTCTCCTCAGAAGGGTTGCAGCAGTTTTGTCACAACATCGAGTTCCTTGGTACTTCAGGCTGCCCATGTTGAATGTGAAAGAAAATTGAGTTTACTGCCACAGCTGTGCTGCCAATCACCAGCTATGGTTCTCACTGCTTATGTCGTCCAATGGGGAGTTGTGCATACATAACTGCCAACAACCATGCGCAGATATAACACAACCATACATGCTTACATTGAAGCACCTGTTGTTGGTGCGCTGAGACTGCTTTGCTGTTATGTGTCTCTGGTGATTACTGTGCAAGACATGGAACCAAGGTATCCCTGGCACATGACAGTACAAGCAGATGGAAACAGCGAGTGCCTGCTTGTGTTTGCGCACGACTGGCTGTGGCTCATAGCTGCATACGGCGTCTATCTTCAGGTACACATCAGAGGAGACCCCCATGGAGGCCTACATCAATGTGCACAACGTTTTCGAGAACCAGAGGACGAAGGCACAGAGCAATGGGGGTCAAGGACCAAGGGTAATGGTGGTGGGACCCACAGATTCTGGAAAAAGCACGCTGTGCCGCATACTGATCAACTATGCCTTGAGGCTGGGATGGTCACCTACATTTGTGGACCTTGACATAGGTATGGAAGAACTGGAGCATAGAGTTTGGCATGGGGTGCTGGAATGTCAGTCTGTTGCATTGCGACACTGGCGTATCATTCAGTATGGTATTGCAACAAGGCTTTGACTGCAAGCTGACATTCATGTGCCATTGTGCACCATTGTATAACCATGGTAATGTACAAAGTATGTGCTTTGCATTACGTGAATCAATGGCTGTGTCCCAGCAGCTTTATGAAAATTTGCGGCATAAAAATTGAGCACACTATTTTCAATGTTACATTTCACATTGGCGTCCATGGCCACAATATAAACTGCCACCCGATGCATAAATTTGTTTGGACTCTTGTGGAGTTGGATTGTCTAGTCTGGAGAGGTGCCACACAGCACGCTGTCATATCATTTGGGCAATGGAAACAGCCCCTAACATGCAGAATCTGAGCTCCAAGCCAAAACATATGCGCATAAAGTGAGCTATGGCAGGCAACCAGCATGCTATCCCAGCCTAGCAGTGTCCCTGAACTAGCAATTCCATTTGTGCAGCCAGCAGTGCCAATGGTGCTGGCCACTTCTGACATTGGCCATGCCTTTGCACCTCCACCCAGGACAAGGCAGCATTGCCCCTCCTGGCACAATTGCAGCCACTCCAGTCCAGCTCCCAGTGACGGTGGAGGATGGCTACCCTCTTGATGTTCCACTGGTTTTCTATTTTGGGCACACCACTCCTGTCCAGAATGCCAATCTGTACAAATTCCAGGTTGAGAGGATGGCGACCCTGCTGGATCGCAGAGCTAACAGGCATCCTACGGTTGCTGCATCTGGCATGCTTGTGAACACGATGGGCTGGGTGGAAGGACTGGGTTACGAACTAATTTTACATGCCATTAAGGCCCTGAAGGTAAGCGACTGCCTGCTGTGAAGAGATGATCATTCCTGATGGCCTGGTTCATCAGTTGAACGGTGTGGCCACGGGTTTCTGGGCAGGCTTGGCAGTGCCAGCAGCATGGCATCTGCCAATGTATGCTTGCACCCTTCGCAGTCACCAGCATTAAAAAACAGATCCTGCAATGTGTGTATCCAGGTGGACAATGTGTTGGTCGTTGGACAAGAGCGCCTCCACAGCCAACTGGAAAGTGACCTACGGCAGGTAATATTTTGCCACATGTGCCCTACTGCCTGTATGTCCTTTGCACAAGCAATGAAGATGTGTACATGTATGATTAATTAATTCAGACTTGGTGAGTCATGAGACATTGCTTATGTGGCTTGCATATGTGCAGCACCCTGTCCACCAGTTGTGGCTTGTAGATGTCTGGAGAACCCCAATTCTCACATCCACCGTGGCATATGTCATGTTTCAGGCTCGCAACCCCCGGATTCAGGTCCTCCGGTTGCCCAAGTCTGGCGGTGTTGTGACCCGCAGTCCAGAGACACGGAGGGCAGACCGTGCCAGCCGTGTTAGGGACTACTTTTATGGTGTGCCACGGACCCTGATGCCCCACTCCGAGACCATCCAATCCACAGAGTTGAACATTTATCGCGTTGGGGGAGGGCGGCAGGCGCAATCGTCAATCCGTCCTGCTGGAACCGCCTCTCTCATGAACCCACTGAAGATCACGCCTGTCAGAGTTGGGAACGAAATATCTAACTGTTTGCTGGGGGTATCACATGCACGGACAGCCGAGGAGATACTGTCAGTCAGTGTGGCCGGATTCATTTTCATTCAGAGAGTGGATGTCCGGGATGACGGGGAGGGGACGGTGACATACTTGGCACCTGGCCCTGGGAGTCTGCCTGGAAGGTATCTGCTTTTGGGGTCGATTGAAATTTTGAATTTTACATAGGTAAATGTTTGGTAGTGGGCGGCAGCATCTATTGCTGGAGGAAGAGGGGGGTGGGGTGGACAATTACCGGCAGGGTGAGGTGCACATGCAGGTGAACTCTTGGGCGCAGTGATGGTCATGCACATTTCTAGTTTGCTGAATATTGGCTAAAGGTTGTTCAGAGCGTTGTGGCTTTCCACAAGTAAATCCCCCTCCCAATGGAATCGCTCACGCTGCTGTGCATCAAATTGCACCACAGTGCCCCAGAACGAACGCACTGGTTTCTGCTTGCAACTGATATGCGTTCTTGTCTGTTTCCCTCACAAGTGCACATACAGACAAGCCTTTCAAAACCTCCTGGTCAATGTGCGATTGCTTGGTGGGCAGACATTATTCAACCTTGAGCAATAGCAAAACAACACGATCAGAAGGATATCACATAAGCAATCAATGCAGGAAAATCCTCAGATCCAAGGAAAGCATACTTACAGACATGCCCATTTCTACCATCGTCTCCTTGCACACCTGCTCACTCAGCATTTCGTTGCGATCGGTTGCCTGCCTTTTCATTTTCATATTCAGCAACATACTCCTCAAATTCCTTGGGAAGTTCAATTAGAAACACATACCACCAGAATGAAACTAGCAGCGTGACGAAACCAGTTGCCAGTAGGGATCCACCAGATATTCTGTTGGCCAAGAACACACTAGCAACACCGGTCGCTAATATCGCTGGCGGCTGACACCATGCAGGTTTGTAATCCCAGACGTTCTTCGACTGGGGGCTGAAGGTATCTGGCAGGGCTTCTGGTGCATCATCCACCTGAGAGGCACCTCAAGGGTTAGTGATTCCAGCTGAAGTCTGTGCACAATAGTCATATGCATAACAGCCTTCTACAGGAAGTTATCAGATATCATTTGTCACTCGTTCAGCTGGAAAAGAAACGGCTCAACTCCATGGGTCATTGTAAAGGGCGCTTTTTTCTCCCAATGTAGGCGGAGTTCTTCTGCAGGAGAAGCATGTCGGAGGAAGAGGCTGTTCTGATTGGTAGCGGATGAACCGCACATGGACTACATTTAGCATGGTCAATTTGTAGAGGTCACGTCAACACGCAGCAGAGATCTAAGTCTCCGCTGTGGGATAGCAGGCGCGACCCTGGCCGTGTGTATCTGTGGTATTCACGCAATCCAAAGTGCTCCGAACAGCTGTGACTGTAGGCAGTTGCCCAGAACAAAAGCAGCTACTCACCGCCTCAGCTCCAGCCGCCTCCGACAACGGCTCGGAATGGCACACGCGCCCCAGTCGCGGGTTGCGCTGCGTTCGCTGGCATGGGAAATAACAGCCTGCCAGCAGCGCAAACTGAAGGCTCAGAACTGGTGCGGAAAATGCATGCACCAATTCAACAACAATTGCTTGGGTACGGACCGTTTTTGCTTGAGCCCGGCCGGTTCGGTGAGCGGGAGCGGATACGGGCTGAGGTGGAGCAACAACAGGAGGCGTCTCGACTGAGGCTCATTGGAACAGCCTGCAAAACTGGCACACTGACCCTCCTCAGGAATGCACATATCCTCAGGACGCTCCCCAGGAATGCATGTGCACGGGATGTACATTAGCACTTGCGGGCGGTGGGACCCTGCATTGTGTCGAAGCATGGGCAGGAAGGAAGGGCTCCAACAGAAGCGGCTGCGCGCGTGGGCTGAAGCCGCGCAGGGAGAACGGAGCACCCCTGTGGAGGTCCCAGCGCAAAAGAAGCGGAAGGTAGCCAAGTCGAAGTACCAACGCGGGAGGGTCCTCAATGTCGACCGTCTCAAATCAGGGAAGGCGCTGAAGACCCGGCTCACCCACGGCGAGCACCTCATTAGCGACGCGGTCTCTGAAGCAGCCGCTGTGGATGAGTGGCTGAAGCCGTCGGCATCGGGATGCATCGAGACAGAGGGCAATGAGAAGACATGGCGCGTAACTCAGAGGGAGATCGTGGAGGAGGTTGAGGTTGGGGCCGCCAGGAAGGCATTTGATTTGAGATTGGAGGACCTGGGCCCCTACAAGGTCGATTTCACTCGGAATGGGAGGTTCATGGCCATCGCCGGGCGCAAGGGCCACCTGGCGGAGTTTGACTGGCAATCGGGGAAGCTGCGATGCGAGGTGCAGGTCAGGGAGACGACGCGTGACATCAAGTTCCTGCACAACGAGCTGTTCTGGGCGGTCGCCCAGAAGCAGTACGTATACATATACAATCAAGACGGCCACGAGGTGCACTGCCTGAAGAGCCACAGGCACCCCCTGTGCTTGGAGTTTCTGCCGTATCACTTTCTCCTGTGCTCCACAGACGACAGCGGCATCTTGCGGTACCAGGACACCAGCACAGGCCGCATGGTGGCCAGCCTGCACACCAGGAAGGGGCCCGTACATGTCATGAAGCAAAACCCATCCAACGCGGTGCTGTCACTGGGGCACTCCAAAGGGATGGTGTCGATGTGGACGCCTAATATGGACACAGCCGCTGTCCGGATGCTGTGCCACAAGGGCCCAGTGACGGCTCTGGCTATGCACAGAGGTGGACAGTACATGGTGACGGCGGGGGCAGATCGCGGGCTGAAGGTATGGGACATACGCACCTACAAAGCGGTGCAGACGTACATCACCTTTGCCCCTGCCAAGCATGTGAGCATTAGCCAGCAGGGCCTGACAGCCGTGGGGTATGGCAGAACGATCGAGGTGTGGAAAGATATGTATGCTCAAAAGCAGCAGCACCCTTATCTCAAGCACATGCTGGAGCTGGGATTCGTGGAGAACTGCCAATTCTGCCCATATGAAGATGTGCTTGGAATAGGGCACTCTGGTGGCGTGTCCACAATGCTTGTTCCAGGGGCAGGGGAGCCAAATTTTGACTCCTGGGTCGCCAACCCATTCCAATCCACGAAGGAGCGCCGGGAAATGGAAGTCTCTCAGCTCTTGGGGAAGGTGCAGCCCGAGATGATCACTTTGGACCCCGATGCCATTGGGCGAGTGAGGTCACAGCAACAGGCCAAGGCAGCACAGGGGGATGGGGATGAGGGCAGCGAAGAAACCAAGGGGAAGGGAATGGAAAAGGGCAAGAAGGTCAAGACCAGCAGGGGCAGGGCACATCACGCCAAGCAAGATGCTTTCTTTAGGGAGAAAGCCAAGCAGCTGAGTACCCAGGAGCAGCACCGCTCATCAGACAAGCGTGCTGTTCAAATTCCTGATAACGTGCCACACAGTTTGAGACGCTTTTATAAGGCAAACCGGCATGCAGATTGAGGGCCTGAATGCATGGTTTTTTTCTATTACTTTAACTCTCGACTTGGTTGTGGTGCGATTTGTCTGGGCTCATGAACACTGTTCAGTCCATTTTGTGGCAGACAACATCCCCAACACCGAGACTCGGTTCCTTTTTGCATGGCTGTCGTTTGGGTAAAGGGGAAACAGCACAGGTAGGTGATCAAGCTTTGCTGCCAACGAGGTGCGCAATTGGGTGCGAACCCACGTCTGCGTGCACGGACACCCGGGGTGTAACCGGCTTTGTCTGTTTTGTCTGGAAGTGCACATAATTGTGGCTTGCAGCGTAGATAGGACGCACATGGGTGCTGGAGAACGGGGATGCCGAGCAAAGGAACTGCTCATTGATTGCAGAAATTTGCAAGTCACATCCGCACCAAGTTCTCGTTTCGGGCGTATGCAACCGCACAGAGCTCAACATGTGCTTTCTGTATGAGTTTGGAGTCAGCAGCACGTTGCCCGGCTTGTCAGTTCAACGGCGCGATTGCCGCCCTGCAACAAGTGCCTTGACTTTGAAGATAAAAGAAGCGGCAAATTCCTTGGGCGCTGAAGAACAATTGCTCTGCAGGAAGCCAGTACTAGCAAGCATGGCGTGCCGTCACGAAGCTGAGAATCAAAACAAAACAAGAGTAGCTAGGCTCAGTCTACGGCGCAGCATTTCCAGGTGCAACGCTTACAGCAGAATGTTCATACACCCTCAATGGACTTCGAAGTCTCTCGAAACCACCACCAGACTTGTTCCGCAACGAATTGGCGTCATACATAGTGATGGCGACTAATCCACGCCTCAAACAACACAAGATGACCAGGGTACCGACTGCAGTTCCACCTGCAGACCAGCAGGTCAATGTCCCGAGCAGGCGCGAGTGGAACAGCAATGAACCAGAGTTGGGTACCACCAGCGCTCCAAAATCACCCCAGTAAGAGAAACCACAATTTGATAACCCCAGTACTCTCAAAATCACACCAGTAAGACGAATTGACACGAACGGCTTGTCAGAAGGCTGGCGCACCGCCCTCACATGAACGTCAATTGAAGGCTGTCCACTGGCAATCTCGCCATGCCTTCATTCTACAGCCGTCTCACCTTTATCCGGCAAAGCACAGACCCACTGGAACGAAAGCGTGTGAGCCGCTCCCCGGCACACAGCTCCTTTCTAGAACTAATTCAGATGTCGATGTGCACGCCAACAAACTGCCCAGAGAACGGCCAACCCCAGAGGTGCCACTTATCCCATTGACTTGGACATTTCATAATTACCAGGCTGCACATCATTCATCACCCTGCTTATCCCATTACGCTACAGACCGGTTGTGTCCCAATTCAAAGAAACCCCAGAAATTTCCGCCACAAAAACGCTGCAGGGCATGCGACCTGAGCACCACGTCCAGATCGCACTCTCTTGCCCAGGAACCATGGCAAATGACTGCCATCAGTCCTGCCAGGATGCGGTACCACTGAATCAGCATCAAAATTGCCGTCCTGGACTCCAAGGCTGCCGACCTCCACCACCAACCACCATCCAAATCCAATGCCATGTCCTGGGAGCCCACAGGAGCCCTGCAACAGCTGAAGGAGAGCAAACACAAATACTCACCAGGCCAGCCGTGCCAAAACGACCAGCTGGCCCGCCCACCAACCTTTAAGCAACAGCGCAGAGGGAAATAGAAAGAATGATCAAAATTGAGGGGGGTAGGGGTCTCCTTTGTGAGACAACCCAGGAAGTCACAAGGGTCAAGGTCCACGTTCACCCACAGGGGCTGTGCGTAGCACACTAGGTCCCAACCCTCACCTATACAGGGGATCAGTACCCCCACCCCACTCATCACCACCACCAGCTGTGTGGCAAACTGCGTACTGCACCTGTCGCCAAAAGGTACTTGACACACCTACTCTAAGAAATTGAAACTCGGCAATTCTGCATCCTTCTGAGCAACAAACTTCCACCTGTTTCCAGCTGCCGTCCATCTGTTTTCCAGCCACCCTCCACATGTTTTCCAACTCGCCCTTAAAGATATCCCCAAAAGTCTATCGCGGACCTAGGAACCAGCCCGCGAGGGGGCAGGCACCACATTGGCAAGGGGTTCCCCCCACCGTGGGCTGCCATTCCCCCCGTGGAGCTGGAGCTCGCATCTCAGCCTGTCGATCTTCTCCAAGTTGCAGGTGAAGCTGGAAACCTGGACATTGTCCTTGTACATGTGGAAGTACGGGATCTTGTCCACTCCCCGCGCTTCACAGTGCTGGCGAAGATCGTCGTCGGTCAAGTCCACGATAATGAAAACGATGTCGGCGTTCTGCTTGGCCAGCTTCTTCAGCTTGTACTGCATCCTCGCGCAGGAGGCGCACCAGGCTCCCTTGTAGTGCACGACGACCAGCTGTCCGTTGCGGGAGAAGGACTCCACGCGCAGGTCCAGCTCTGCCGGGAGGTGCACCTGGAGCATGTTGGAAGGCATGGCCCCCGCCTCTCCCCTCAGGCTACGCTGGGTCTCCTCCATCTGCAGTGTGCGCTCCCGTTCCCTGTGAAAGCGGGCGAACCAATCCAAGAAGAGCGTCACAGCATGGCCCTTCAACCGAGTCACACATCGTTTGGAAAAGGCTTGGAATCGACCGCTGGGCCCCGTATGCGTCGGTGTGATGTCTGCTGGGAAGCGTGACCAGACGCAGCGCAAATGAACAATGTCTGCTTCCCCCTCCCCTTGCCACTCCCTCCCGAGTGGACGCTTCTGCGACATAGCCACCCGTACAGTTCGACCACCCGCACTTTCGCCCACCCCTGCCTCAAGCCGGAGCCTGTGCGCAGCTGATGTGCTACCGGCCTCGAAGCCATTGCCGCCGAAGCATCACACTTCGACAAGGCCCAGGAGGGACGCCTGCGCTCACCTTTTCTCCGCCTCCATCCTCCGGCGAATGGCGTCGGGGTGGCGGCTGACCACGCCTTCCTGGGCCGAGGCCCTGGGCACACCGGCCAGCCTCGGCGCGGACGCCCTCCCGGCGGTGAACGACGTCGCAGCGCGACCCGGCACCACCGCGTGGGGGAGCTGCATCGTGAACGAGGTCGACCGCATGGCTCAATCCCCTCTCCGGCTCAAGGGCGGACGCTGGCGCCACGCAGCAGCAAGGGACAATGAGGTGCCTCCTCCGTCGGTGCAGGAGCCTGTATAACAAAATGCCGACAACGCCAACCCAAACTCAGCTTCGGTGGATGGCACACGAAGAACACAGCCCAAGCCAGGCTGGGCGCACTGGCGTTGAAGGAACGAAAGAATGAGCGTGCACCTTGCGCAGAGCCCTTCTCAGTGCTCTGTGCTGCGCGAATTGAAGTGTATCCGGTCGCGCAGTGCGAGTCACCGAGGGGCGCATTTTGGGCGCGCCCACGCGCCCACCCAGGACGACTCAGATCTGTCATCATGGGAAGTGAGACAGAGGCTTGAAACCCAAGTCAAGCGTCCGTATCCATCGAACGGCGCTCTGTGGACAATATCAACTCCGTTGAAGGCGGCCCAGCGCAACACCGTAGCTGGGCTCGTGAGGGTTCCCGCCAAGAAAGCAGGATGCAACATGGACACCAAGTGGCCCCTCCACATCCTGGGACGTTCCGCCTGAGGAACGGGACGACACTGTGGGAGATCCCGCGCCGCGCTAATTGAGACGCCAAGCGCCAAACGAGACCTGATGCGCAAATCCTGACAGCAAGCGATGGACGCACAGCGGGCCACTCCGTCGGCATTCACACATCCTCGGCCGCACCTTGACCACCGCCGCGCCCGGTTGAAGCGATGGCAACAGAAACCGACTCACAAGAACGAAGACAAAGGCCACTCTGGTGCACGTCGTTAGCACGCTTGCGGGTTCTTGTCAGGTGAGCGCGAACACGCCGCGACCAGGTGGGTGCCAGTCGCGGCGCAGTTTTTCAAGGGTTCCGTTCCAGTGCCAGGAGCCCACAGCCGCAGGCTGGCCCGTTGGATGGATTCGGCCGAAAAGGCCGGAAAATTTCTGGACGCACTGAAGTCACGTGCGGCCTTTTCTGACAGCTGGTGCGGCCTGGCCGCAAAGTCACAGATGACTCCGTTGCCTGGCTGCCGACGCTGGCCGCCAAGTCGGACTGGCGACCCGCGGTTGGGGGGTGTGGGGACTTTTGTAGTGTCGAACGGCCGCAGAAGGGCGAAGGCTTTCGCCACCGCTAGCCATTTTCTTCACGTGAGAGGACACTTTGGGCTCTTTGGGGCCGGCCCGAGGGCTGTCTCCACGAGCCCCGTTGAGTACTGTGGCTCTGCAGGGACACATTCCAAATGACAGTTTCTCTATCCCAAGCAGTCTAGCGCGACTCGGCACACAATTGCTCCGTCACAGAGGCTTGGACTTTCGGTGATATGTGTCCGTGAGCTCTTTCCCAAGCAGTCTAGCGCGACTCGACACACAATTTCTCCGTCACAGAGGCTTGGACTTTCGGTGATATGTGTCCATGAGCTCGGAGCACACGCTCAATCCACCAAGGACTGTGAATTCCACGCCACTTTGTGCCATGTGTCTTCGCGCCAGAAAACCTCGTTTTCTTCAACGTTGCAGCGAAAACGGCTGTTTGAGCGATGGTGAGGAGCGCGCTTTGGCAGCGTCGAAACACGGTAACGCAAAACAAAACTATCCGTACACTTTAGAGTAAAGGTTGCCGCACGGCTTGTGAATAGTCAGGGGGTTTCACACGTTTTGCAGGGCCTGATGCCGGAACTCGCCGCAGCTTGCGACTGCCATTCAAGATCCAGCAGACAGATCGCAGATTACCTTCGAGCCCAGAATTTAGAGCCATTGCATTGGGACCTCCATAGCAGTCGTGATGGCAGCTGCGGAAGGCCTCGCGAGCCCCACAAAGATCACTGGATGATCGTCACCCTGACCAGGTAGCAAATGATTGGGAGATTGGCCTCCAGGACGGGAATTGCGAAATCCACCTTGTTTCGGAATTTCAAGGAACGGGACGCAGACTGAATGGCTAGACGAATAAAGCCGCGCCTCTCTCAGAAACGAAGACCAGCAAGGCTGCTTGGATTGGGAACCACACGCAAAGAATTGGCCCCAGGGGTTTTCCACGATTTGTCGGCCAAGCCGGCCACGAAAAACTCGGTTCAGGCAGGCAGCGATCGAGGTAGAATGTTCCAAGCGAGGTGGCAACATACCCTTGGAGCAGCAGCCCACATAGAGGCAGGACTTAACTTCCTGGTCCGGACATTTTCCACTCGTTGCAGTCCGCGCAACGGTGATCCAGTGGCAGACATGTAACATTGTTGACGCTGTGACGACGGCCTGCAACGACAAGGATCCACAACCGATTGGACGTGCTGGGCCAGCTCTGTTTACATGATTGACGTTGCCCTTCGCCTCGATGGTGGCAACGGCTTCGATTTCCCAATCACTGAGATTGGCAAGGCCTGGAACCGTGGCGAACTCCAATGGTTGGGTGGTGCAAATGTACAATTTCGAATAAAGCAAGCGCAAATTCGGGGCCCGCTGAGAGGGGCAGGGTTGATTTCTTTTGGGGAAACTGGCAGCCAAGGGCTTGGCGACCCAAACTTTCCGACTCTGGGATTCTGTTTGAGAAAAAAATGGGCGCTTTTGTCAGGGATTTATCCTCAAAAACACGACAATTTGTTTGGGACAGCGGAAGTAGGAGCTAGGACAGCCAACCTGGGACTAGGTTGGGCCCAGGATGCGCACGAGACTTATCTGACCGAGGGCGAACCCGCGCGGTGCGCTGGTGTTCACTCCGTGGGCGGCTGCCGTCCTTGATGTGTAGAGATGTGGCTGATGATGATCATTAGGTGCAGGCGGCCTCGTCTCTGTTTATGCTGTGCGCGTCCTGGCCCTGACCCGTCAGCGTGGAAGGCGGCCTTTGGGCGTGCTTGCGTGCCCCCAGGCACCGACGGCGCTGCAGCCAGATTCGGGGACGAGCGGGGAGTCTGCGGGAGTCGCTTCAAGCCGTTGTGGCCTAAGATTGTGGAGGAATGGCGGTCAGCACCGAGGAGTTCGCGACCGCGGTTGGGATAGACGCAGCAATTGCGCTCGTCGTCTTTGCGGTCTTCGCCATCCTGCGAAGGCTGCGCTTCGCGAATCGATACTACGCGCCGAAGAGGTGAGCTCAGATCCTTCAGCTTTGGCCACTCTCAAACCTGGTGTCGTGAAGCTGGAAGTGAATTTTCGCCGACGCGTGCTGACTTTCTTGCGGGCGGCACTGGGGCGCGGTCCCTTCAAATACTGGGGGACTGGACGCGCACCAGGAGAGAGGGGGTCCATGTGCCTTTTAGCCTTGAGATCAGTTGCGATGTGTGTTTTTTTCCCGCCTTCGTCGATCCGCTGGGTGGAAGTGCTGACTCCGCTGCCTTGGTCAAGGTCCGCGTGGTTCAGGGTTCAGTTGAGCGAATATCGCCAGACTCTTTCAGCTGCTTGAGCAGCACTTCTTCTATGTTTCGTTCGACTGCCTCCACTGAATTGCTTCCAGGGGTTCAGGGATCGATTCGTGGGATTTTGTGGAGCGGCACGCGGGGCAGTGCTGACTTCGCGCGGGACGTTGCAGGTACTTGAAATTGCAGTACAGGCGGCCGAAACGATTGCCGAGTGGGCTGCTGTCATGGATGAGGCCTATGTTCGCCTACGAGGAGCGCGACATACTGGAGATCGCCGGGATGGACGCCCTCATGTACCTCCGAGTCATCAGTTTCGGTGGGCACGGGAATGCCCCGCTGTCTCCTAGAACTATCCTGAGGTTGATGATCGCTTTTGAACCCGGAGGATGGTTTTGTGTCGCTTTCCATCCCAGTCTTAGGCAGTGCTTTCTGGTGTGGGATAGCCGACAATGGTAGATTTTGATCACCAAACTCAGTCGCCCAAGTAAATGTAATTTGCAAATGCGGGTTTCTTTGAGTCTGTTGAGTACACTTCGTGTGCCAAAGTGTAGGGGTCACTGTGTCACACAATATTAGGTATAGGACATGGACAAATGGAAATTGCACACCTGTACATTGCCTGTGCTCAGCTATGCACAAGGTTTTGAACAGTTGGTGGTGCGCAGTGCCAGGCGTGCACCACATCACATTCACACTGTATTGCTTTGGGCCGAACAGGGTGTGTCTTCACTGTGATTATTTCCAAAATGCAACACATTTAATTGTCCAGATGCTGCCCCATTCCCAACTGAAGAGATGCAGGCCTTATGTCACCTACCAAGATTGCGAAAAGGCGTTGTCAAGCCCAAGAGGTGGTTTGTATCAAACCTCAAAGTAGACAGGATGGGCGCTGTGAGGGTGGGGTGGGTGGATGGGGGGCTGGGCGTTTTTTTGGGGTGGGGGTGGGGGTGGTAAAACAGAATCATAGCTAATCGGAATGATCTGTTTGTTCAAATCATCCAAAATGAAAGATGTTGAACAGGTGCTGGTTTCGGCAGAGGATGCATAGCTGCCTGCAACTGTGCGAACGATGCAGAAGATTGTTGTTGTACTTCCGTTCTGCTGCCCCATCGGAGGCACGTGTCTCACCACATGGCTATGTCACCAGGCACCAAGCTGTTTCTCTTCCTAGGCTTCTGGAACTTGGTTACCGTTCTGGTTATCTCACTGGTTCATGAACATCTGATTGTAGCTGCACATGTGAATATGTTTGGGTGTTGTCTGCAGGGGAATGAAGTGAATGTTTTGCTGAGACAGGAGGCTAGTAGCAATGGCACCAGCAACAGTACAGAGGTGCGCTCAGGATGATATCGGTGCTCCCTTTCCTGAGATTGCTTGCATATGACAACATGCTGCCTGCTGCTGTGCTGTGATACATTTGTTTATTTGCATGTGTTTTCTGGATGTCAAGAATGTCACAATTTCACTTGTGCGCATGGAGTGCAGAATGCCAGAGTTTGCCAGACACAATTGCTGCATGTTGCTGCCGCATGTGAAAATCGTCTCGTTGAATTCTTCTTCTATTGGCCACAACAACCTTGGTGTTCTTGCAGGTGTCACCGGTGCTGGCTGCTGAGGGAGCCGAGGAAAATGATTTCATACTCTCAAGCTTTGACAAGTTGTCGATCACAAACATTGAAGCAAAGAGTGACAAATTTTGGGTTCATTTGATATCTGCTTATGCCTGCACATTCTACATTCTCTGGGTACGTCTGCAACATGATTTATTCGATGGGTGATAGCACTTGCCTCTCGGAAAGCATACGTTTGGCACATCATCGCTGCCAGTCTGGCTGCTCATTGCTGCTCTAGGGCATTTCAAGTATTCAGGAGCTGCTCACTGAGATTTGACTCCACTGTGCCGCTTGTGCGAACAGCTATGCCATGAGCTGAGTGTGTCAAGTGTATTCATGTCTTAGGTATTGCTGTGAGAACTGTGCACACCTTGCTATGCCTCATGCTTACTCAAAATTACACCCTCTCTTAACTGCAGCACAGGAAGATGTCTCCATACCATCTGTTTTGTCGGTGGTTTCCTTGCCCGGTGGCTGTAGTCATCAATGACTTGAGGTTTGCTGTCATCGCAGCTCCTGTGGCGGTACCACACTGAAGCAGTGCACCTGAGGATACAGTACCTTGCAACGACCAAGAAGGGTGGTGAATCTCACACTGTTCTGGTCACAGACATTCCAGGATGTCCTTATGGGACAATGCTTGCCAGAGCATTGCAGGTATCGTCTGTGTACATTGTGGTTGTCTTCCTTTTCATTGGCCTGACAAGGGGAAGCACACTGTGTTCCCCTTATGCTGAGTCATGTTGCTTTCCCTTTGTTGTATTGCGGACTGTATTCCTATTTCCACCTGCCTCATGTCCTGTTTGGCACCTTTGAAACAAATGCCAGTGGTCGATTGTGCCATTTGTTTGAAGCAGCTGCAGTCTTCATTCAGCAGCATCTGTTGTTGTCTGGTACACCTCCTACCCAGTAGAAATTGGGTAATTAAGGCCTGATCCACCATAGGAATGCTCAAAGACCATGCGAGTCAGAGCTCTTTATCATTGCGCAGTTGTGCAACAGCAGCACTGTGCCCCTCGGTGTTCAGTGTTCATTTTGATTGTTGATCCCAGAAGGCAAGGATCTTGTGGGGTTAGGATAGGCTGGTACATGTGGCTTCTGCAGCCAATCACGAAGGGTGCATGAGCATCTCAGCCTGGTACATCAACTAGCTGTAGAATTTCATTAATCGTTTGCACTCTGGTAATGATACTTCCAATCTTGTTGCTTTGTAGGTTGCTCCCAAGTTTTTGCGCCCGCGCATTGAGGCGATGATTGAAAAGACGAAGCAAGTCGCACTGGCCTCTGTCCAAGGCATTGGGTCTGTTGCTGGAACCGTTGGACAGAAGTCAGGAATTATGTCACGGTGAGCATACAGCATCTGGTCACAGGGTAACATTCGTAGTAACCTTGCCTACAGTCTGTCAGCCACTGCATCTAGCATCAAGACCCTTGCTGGTTGGGGACGCTCAGTGACCATGAAGAGCTTCAGTTAGTTGCAGCACAGAGCAGAGAACTGAAGGGGCGTTTCATAGGTTGCCCTGTGCAGACTTGAGAACAGTGTGAGTCATATGCTAGTGGTGTGGATACGTCAACACTTGTGTGGAACTGTGGGAGTTGTTGACGACATTGTGTGTTGATGGATCTGCTGTAGGAATGAAAGGCGTGCTTCAGAAGCAGAGGAGATGACCGATGTGCAGCCTTGGAAACGTGCTCAGGAAAAGATGACGTCCATGACCTATGAGGTGAGGTACTCGCTTCAAATGGCATCAGTTATCAAGTGACAGAATGTTCTTTTCTGCTGCTGCTTCATGACATCAAACGCATGGTATGGTATGCTGTACCCACCCTGTCTGACACTGACAGCATGCTGAATGCTCCAATACACCCACAGATTGTTGTGAATTTTCAAGTGTTGTCTAATTTGCCATACAATGGGATTTGTTGTATTGCTATTGGGGCAAGCTGTTGCACAGTGCTGTGTGTACAGGACATGGTAACCTCAGAGTTTAAGGAAGTGTACCCTGAGCATGAAGTGGAGCGTGTCAGGGTGGTGCATGACTCAACCCATTTGGACCCAGCTGTAACTGCTTACAACAACACAAAAAGGGAGCTTGAGGACTTGGTGGATGAGTACACAAGCAAGATAAGGAGGAGGAGAGAAGTTAAACCCCAAATGGTATGGCAAACAAATGCAGGCTGGAGTTGGCTCCTTGTGTAGTTGCTGGGTGTTGTTTTCAACAAAGAGACAGCTTGCAGACATGTTTGAATGGAATGGCATAGGTGGAGCACCTATTCGCAGCAACCAGAACCAGCTACATGGTATGTCTGGATGGACTCACTGGAAACGAACAGGGTTGTTGACTATGTATTGGGCGAATCAGTTTTGCACTACCAATGTTAACTTTGAGGGGATTTGGAGCCTATAAGCCAGCAAACTTGCTTTGTAGCTTCAAAGACACACGCATTCTTTTCTCAACTTGGGGCTATGGAAATGGTTACTTGTGGCGGATCTGAGCACATAGTTTCCAGCTGTTTTGCAGCAATTGATTAGCTCTGAACAGGCTTGTTTCTTGGAGTGCACCATAGTGAGAGTACTCTGCAGCACTCACTGCAGCATGTTGTGTCATGACGGCTGTCACAAAATGATATTGAAGAAAGAGCAGAATATGAAAATTTCAGAAAACAAAAGATGTTGTTTGCTTTAGGTTGATACAGAAATCATGATTGAAGAGTTGCCTGTGACAGGCCAGCAAAGAAAAGGATTGGTAGTACACCAAAGACAATTTCATGCCTGTATGGTGCGGTATTTGCTGTGTGCAGAAGATTCCGCAGCTGCTTTAAGAATGATTTCTATCCTATGGACTGGAATCACATCTGGGCTGAAGCATGTTGGGGCTAGGTCTGGGACCTGGAGGCTCGAAGTGCTCAAGCTCTGGTGTAATGTTGTTCTCATTAGTTTCAAATGTGCCTGTGCAATGCACACTGTGCGTGTATGTTAGTGTGTTCATGCATGCTGCATCGCAATAAACTTAACACACCAGAGAGCATGTATGTTGCCTTTCTGCAATTGTCCTCGCGGTCAGACTTTCTGAAAGTAGTTTGATTGCATTCTTGTAGGTCCGTATTGCACCTGATTTGTGTGGCGCTTGGGCCAAGGAGAAGTACCCAACTGACCTCAGGCACAAGTTTATTAAGGTGGACAAACTGGAATTCCTAGCATACAGGCTTGAGGCTCAGAGAAAGGACATGGAGCACAAGCAGCTGGAGGCGTCTGAGCTCTACGTGGGGTCTGCATTTGTGACTTTCAAGTGAGCTGTTTACATCAACTGGTCCTCAGCAAGCAACCACTGCTGGTATTGATATATGTCATGGACACCAAGGCAACAGCACGCACGGCCAATATCGAAACAGCGTTTTGAAACACCGCAGTTGTCTGACATTGCTCATTGTGTCTTGTTCAGGTCCCGCTGGTCACAGGTGGTTGCTGCAACGTCACTGCACCATCATGATGAGTCTGTCTGGCAGGTCCAGCCAGCTCCTGGGCCTGAGGAGGTGTACTGGCCGAACATCAAGTGGCGTTCTTGGGAAAAGGCGATTCGAACGAACTGCATTTGGATGGCTTTTGGTGTCATGTGCTTCACGTTCATGATCCCAGTGGCAGCTATCCAGGCTCTCATTGAGATCGAACGCCTGGAAAAATATGACATTCCAGGGTTGAACGAACTGCTTGAAATACATGTTTTCCGAAGTCTGCTGGTGGCGATTCTTCCTGGTGAGCTGTGCCTTGTACGCTTGTGTGCTTGCAATGATATTTCCCTACTCTTGTGCACATTACTGATATATGTCCTGGAGAACCACACAGATTAATACAGTTTCCCGTTCTGGACACCTGTGCTGAAGGAGCAGGGCTGGACCCACAGTTTCAATTATATTGAGTGGATTGCTGTTCCTTGGCAGGTCTTGCACTCAAGATTTTTTTGGCTTTGCTCCCTTCTCTCCTTGTTTTCATGAACAAGGTACAGGGAATGGTGTCCCTCAGTGCCATTGACTTCGGTTTGCTCAGGAAGTACTTCCTGTTTCAGGTAATTACACACGCATGGCACACGATCTCCGTCGTGCACAGTGTTATGCTGTTGTGGCATCAGTGCTTGGCATTGGGATCTTACTTTGCAGTACAGTGGGGTGGCCTCTTTAAGGCCGCCCCACAACAACCCTGTTTCACCGGCCTTATTGACCGTTGGCCTTATTGAGGTCCGCAGCCCGTCTAAGGCTGTAGAGGCCATTTACGGCACATTTAACATCATATAGTGCATATATTGACTATTTTTAAGGGCATTTTGATATCAAAATATTGTTTGTACTTTATGCGTTGCCCAATAAGGAGCGTAGTACTTTACTTGGTAGCATTGATTGTCAACTGGCAATCGTCAAATCGAAGGAGGGTGGTTTTGAACTGGGTGACCTGTGCTATGGGGTTGCAAACTTGTCTTTGTTCGTGCCAGAGCCATCGGCATTGTCCTTGCCCAATTGTTGGGCAAATTCCGAGTCACTCTCAAACAAGATTTGACCTTGGTCACCGTCCACAGCATCGAACGGTGGCAGCAACTGACCCATACTCTGCCCCTTGTCAACAATTTATCGAGATGGCACAACAACCCGATCGTAGCAAAGGCTACACACACGATTCACTTCTGAATCGCCATCGGGATCGACTTCTCCACAGATCCTGTGGAGGTACCCATCGCACCCAGAGCACTTGTGTATAGTGTAGCAAAGCAGTTTGGGGGTGTCGTGGGGCAGTCTCCACTTCTTGCCTTTGAGGCAAGGCATGGCGGCGCCCCCCACATGCTCAAACTGCTTGTGGCCACGTCTTTCTAGCACTTAAGGTCACGCCACCAGATATGGCCGATTTTGACTGGCCTTATTGACCGTTTGGCCTTATTCAGGGCGGCCTTAAAGAGGCCACCCCACTGTACCAGGAGGACAATCTCATCGGCCTGTCACCTGTTTCAATGGACACTGAATCCAGTCTTCTCAACATTGTGAGAGATTCTGGGTCCCACAACAGTGCTCCCTGAAGACCACAAGTTTGCCTCCTGTCGCAGTTGCTGCCATGCATTATGCAGCACATGGTGCCCAGTGGGAACTCAAATCAGCATGTTGGGCACTCGCACACACCCCACAACAGTGTGTGACTGGCCTGCAAGGTAGGATGTTCTTTGTACATTGATGAAACACTGTCACACACAGTTGCCTCTGCAGTCAGGTTGCCAAAAAGTGCCACAGGACTGTCTGCGGCAAGCCCACAGGCCATGAAACTCAAGGCCTGCACTGCAAGGCGTTGGTTCCAAAACATGATTAGAGATTCTCTAATATCTGTGCAAACATACCACGCAGGTTGTTGAACTGGCGTGCTTTAGGGGCACATGCACTGATAGGGGTTCCAGCGTATGCGATCCAGGCTGTGCCTTTCACGCTGGTCACTTGTTCTGTGTGCAAAGATCTGGTAGCACAGAATGTGCTCTTTGTCCGTGGAAACTGATTTGCGTTGCCATGACGTGCATTGCTGTATGATGCAACACGCAGAGCAGGATGGTGGATTGCGATAGTTGACACATCAGAGGTGTTTTGTACTGCGATGACTTCATTTTCCATCCCCACTGGGAATAGAAGTGCGAATGGCAAAATGGGCTGGGCAATGGCTGGCAACAGGCACAGTGTACTTTCTGTCGTGTGACAATCATTGGAAGTCTCATGCAATGGATTTGATGGTGTTCGGTGCATTTAGCATGCTGCCAATGAACAGTGCCAATGTGCACCACTTCCCCATTTTGTCACAGGTAGGGTGGTATTGTGTGTGCGTTCCTAATTGTTGCCTATGTTAAACAGGTGCTGACGATCTTCTTTGGGAGCTTCATTTTCGGTTCCTTCACCAGCCAGCTGGAGGAAATTATTGAAGACCCTGGTTCGCTCATCGACATTCTTGGAACTGCTGCTCCACAAACAGCATCATTCTTCTGTACCTACATTCTTGTTGAGGTCAGTTTTGACAGTTGGGCAACTAAGTCATCATCAGCCAAACTCTTGGAGACGCTTGTTGTGCAACTGAATGCTGTGACGCCTTGTTCAAAATTAGTTTTCTCTGACCTGAAGACTTATTATTGCCTGTGATCCTCTGTGTCAACTGTTGCTTATGCTTACTTTGTATATGCAGGCATTGCTGGAGACTCCGATTTCTCTACTGCGACTTCCTGGGTTCGTCATCTATGCCATAAAGAGCTATCTGTCGTCCACAGAGCGTGCCAAGGCACGCCTCTGGCAGGACCAGACAATGACATATGGGGATGTGGTACCAGACCACACCATGGTCATACTTCTGGGCGTTGTGTTTGCGGCAATCAATCCAATCATCACTGTGACAGCACTGGCATATTTCCTTGTGAACACCATTGCCTGGAGGTACCAGGTTTTGTACGTCTACAAGGAGGAATACCAGTCAGGTGGCAAGATGTGGGTTCAGGTGCGCATGCAACTCTTAGGCATGTGACAGGTCCCTTCCATCGGTGCAGTTGCTCTGCTCAGATCTTGGAGGCATGAGGCATTACATTTGTGTGGGATGTGTTGGGCTCTGCGCAGAGTTGCACTGGCAGGAAAGTGTAGTTGACCAGCATAGCAGACTCTGGGATGTATCCTTTCCTGTCTATGCTGCCAGAGTGTTGCGGTCGTGTGTGGTAAGAACCAATCAAGCTGTCCTGGGCACATGTGCTGGAGGTGTTGATAATGTTCTGCTGTCGTTTCCTCTCTGTTCATTTCCTCTGTGACTTTTGCTCAGGTGTTTGATCAGGTCTTGCTTGCTCTGCTTCTCATGCAAGCCATGATCATTGGCCTGCTTGGCATAAAGAAATTTGCCTTTTCTTTGCTGGTGATCCCACTTCCCTTCATCACACTCAGCTTCAAGGTTATTGCCGGGAAGGTGTTCACCAGACCTCTCAGTGTGCTGTCCTTAAGAGGGGCAGCCGATCTCGACAGAAGTGACAAGGTAAAGTGATGTGGTTGCTGTGTTACCGCACCAAGCCTTTTAGTTCCCAAGTGGCCAGCAGTCATTGTAAGCATTCCCTAAAGACATTATTGCATGTCTGTCGTTGTCTGTTTGAAGGAATTGCTCTTGTGTTACAATGGGGAATTTAATGATCTTCCAAAGCCTGAAGAATATCTTTGGGCACAGCAACCCTTCCTCTGCTCATCTGTAACATTGCTCTTCTGCTGTTGATGCATAGTCGGCAACGGGCCATGCTTTGATGGCGTATACCTGTGGAAAGCGCTTCATTTGCCATTCTGGTTGCCACCCTGTCATTTGGTTCTGAGTGGTTCATCCTTTGCACACTTTAGTCCAATGCGGAGAAAAACCCACCAAGCCTTGAGGAGATGCGGGAAGCTGATCGCCTCTATCTGTCTCCCAACTTCAAAGTTGAGCTTGGCGAGTATGAGGACCTGCTGAGACAAGCACGTACCGTTGGTGCAAAGCTCAAGGGCGAGGACGTGAAACTTTCCGAGGTAAATTGTCAAAGATTGGTGGGCTTTGAGCCTTGGATGCACGTGGCTGTGTTCCTGTGGTTTCGCGGAGGGTCTATAAAGGGAAACCTAGTGCGCAGCATCTCTGCAAGTGAACGGCTTTCCTGTGGTGAATTGAACAACGCAATCAGCGGGTCGAATGTAACTGTGCCTTTTCGCTTGTGCGAGCAAGCATGTCAACTAACCCATCAGTGTTATGCTTCCTTCAGCCAATTCGTGACGAGGAGTTGTACTGGAGTGCCGAAGAGGATGAGGGTGGCCCATCTTTGGAAGGTGGCGAGTCGAACCAGGTGTGAAGCATGCAACAAGGCAGTGAAGAAGAGGCCGAAGTCTCTGGGTGCCACCAGTCAGGACCGGGGCAGGCTGATTGGATGGAGAATGAGTTTTGTGCGTTTGTGCCATTTACGGTGGATTCTGGTTCCCTGGGTACTTCGTGATTCTTCTCATGTATTTCGATATTGTATTGTTGGGTGCGGGCAAGAGCTTTCATTGTCATGGGTCGCAATTTCGATCATGCACCATAACATGGTACTTGGGGTGGAGAGGTCGGCAATGACTTGTGGTGCTTTTGTCACGAAGTTGTCAATGACTGCTGTACATCTAGTGTGCACTTAGTTTACGTTCAAGGACACCCATTGGGACTCAAGCCTTCGTTTCCATTCTGACGGATCAAGACTATTTACTGCGTTCCTAGCACCTAGTTGTTTGATTGGTTGAGGGCATTTGACGTGGAGGCTGTGGTCGGTCGTTGGTGTGCATATTACATGGGATGCTCGCTGGTGCTACGATGCCTTTGCTGACGGTGCAGGAGGGTTGTGGACCGCATGCGCCATGGCGGAATGCGTCATCATGACATCATTGGGGTGCAAATTGCGATAATAAGACCATGGAGTGCAAAGGATCGGCACTGTCGTTGTGTTGAAGAGGGCGCAGGAATTCACAATTTGGCTTCGGCGCTGGTGGCTGTGGTTGTTGCGAATTCGGCTCTGGGTGTTGGATTACTTAGCTCGGTACTGGCGCCGTTTCCAATTGTGCTCGTTGTGTGGCGCCGTGGTCGGGGGCCCTGCGTGGGAAAATGGTGTCACGAACGTTACGTCGCTCATGCATGCCTGCCGTGGCAAGGGGCAGCGTTCGTAGCCGACTGTTCCAGCCCAGGTTTGAGTCCACATGTTCTCGAATGTACACCGTGCATCCTTGCTGGAGGCGAATTCGGTGAAATCCAATACGATGTGGAAGGAGCACAATGTCGTTCGAATAGATTTTTACCCGTGCTGCGTTGAAGACGTACCGCCGCCTGTTGACATCCCCCATTGTGGCACCCACCAGTCTCCCAAAGGATGCACATCGAAACGGTTATATGCGGTTATCGCAGTGGGAACGTTGCACACATTATTGGACGACAGCTCTCCGCCAGCCCCTGGAGTCTAGGTGTCATGCACTGCGAACAAGGGCACGAGTGGTGCACGCCTCCCATCGGTGTCTGCTCATCAGCCAGGGTCGTTGCTTCACAATGACCAATTCATGGTTGCCCCATGAAGGGCATCTAGTTTCCCCAGCGCCGCACATCCTGGCCACATCGCCTGGATTGGAATGCATCGGTTGACGGTGGTGCACCGAAAGGACAGGGCTCGATCACCGAAATTCTGCACCTCTACAAACGCTTTGCGCCCCCAGCGTGCTGCATCTTAATGCGGAAGCCATTACACCACTATTACCGAGATTGGCAGGAAAGATGTCGAGACGTGACATTGTACTCACGACGCGAAAGGTGTATGGGCAATACACTCCAGCTGAACTGCAGCTGAATGTAACAAGCATTCTGGCGCTGCATTGCGTACGACATGTCCACCAAGATATGGTGATTGTGTCTGAAACGGACAAGCACACCACGATCCGACGCTTGCTGTGATCGGCCCAGTGCCGTTTTGCTGCGACCAATCATCTCCTGTGAGGCACAGTGCGGTATGGGCACAGTGCCCAATCGTTGGAAAGCCACGTTATCAGAACATAGATGTCAAGAGACCTCACAGCGCAGGTTCGGCTCGAAGACCACAGGGGAGAGGCATAAAAAGTTTTTGGGTGTGAGGCTTTTGTAGGTTGCTTGTGTGCATTGAAGAAATTTTTCCTTAATTCTTTTTTTCAATCCGTGAAAAGATAATTGCAAAGAGGGCATTTCCCGCAGGGCGGGTATCCCTAGGAAAAAGTTGGATTTTCCACAGGCGTTGGTGCCTGGGCGATTCTAAGAATACATAGTCTACACGAGTGTTGGCTCTTGGATTGACATGAGCTTGACACCCCTGTGCACACGGGTGACGCATGCGCCACCAGGGGTGCTCTGTTGTCTGTATCTGTTTCCAGCACATTACCTCGCGTTTGGTGATGTCTTCAGCAATAAAAACACTGGTCCTACCAGGAGCAAGCTCCAGTCCCATGCAGAGTCGATTTCAACTAGTTTTTGAATGTTGAAACTCTGTAAAAGTGCATTGCATGCAAGCCAAGTGCACCAAAGTAGGTGGTTGTTTTGGTTTCTTCAGATCAAACCTAAACATAATGAGAATGTCTTCCCCTCTGCCACTAATCTTACGGTTTTCTTCACTGCCGAGTGAAAAATCTGCATTGCAAAGCGCAATAATATTGCCTGTGGAGCAGAGAGTGTACTGCGAAAATCTGATGCCAAGCCGTTTATCCGTGGGCCGCGGGGGGTGGGGACCCGGAAAAGCGCTGAGCTGGCGGCGCAATGGCGGGCCCCTTGCAACCGCCTGCCATGTTGGGACCGGCGCCCTGGCCGGCAAGGCGCGCAACTCCAATCTGAACACCAACGGCAGGATAGGCCTGCGCGACACTGCTTCAGTGCCCGAGACGCAGCTCGGATCTGCGAAGCCGTCCTGTCGGCATTCATGACTTGAAGTTGAGGAGGGATGGCGTTCACCAATGAAGAGTTCGCGTATGCGGTTGGGACCGATGCCGCTGTGGCCATTGTCGTGTTTGTGGTGTTCGCCATCGTCAGAAGGCTGCAGTTTGCGAATCGGTACTATGCGCCAAAGAGGTGAGCCCGCTGACGGGATTAAGGAGATGCCTCCTGAACGGTGGACAAAAGTCGGAGTTGAGGTGGATGCGGTGTTGGACAGGGTGCCCGAGGGCTCTTTGCGACGAAACAGCGCGGGAAAATGCCCGCCGCCTTGCGGTATTGTCTGCTTTTGCAATCCACGCTTGTTATCCAATGCAAGGGTCAAGAATCGTCAAGAATAGTGTGATACGGACAGAATCCACAGGAACATCTGGCAGGCGGCGGTGAGGGCGTCGCCGCCAAAATCTCGCAAACCTCGCATTCTTGACGCCGGCCATCCGACAGCCCTTTTCAATGCGGCGCTTAGGATGCGGCCAAAGGCTTCTTAGGATGTCGTGTTGCCGGATGCCGGTCGCGTTCGCTTGTAGAGGTCGCGGAGTTCCGACTCGAGGCTGCCCAGTCAGCAAACGGTGGCTGATCCGTGCAGGTTCATCAAGACGAAATACCGTCGCCCGAAGAAGCTGTCGTTCTTTTTCTTCTCATGGCTGAGGCAGATATTCGATTACGATGAGCGCGACATTCTGGAGATCGCGGGGATGGACGCGGTCATGTACCTGCGGCTCGTCAGTTTCGGTGAGCGTCGGCGCGGACAAGTGTCAGACACTCTTGGGATACGGCTGAGGAACCAAGGAAGCGACTATGCCTTAGATTTTGGCGATAATTCGCCAGCTGTCCCTGCTTCCGTTCCGAATTCCTGCCCCTGGGCTGTGGCGAACCGACAAAGTGTAGCGTGGGGTTTGGCCCCAAGCACCCTTGACCTGGCGAGGTGTGCCTGCTTCACACGAGTGAGCAGCAATGGATCGGAGAAGGCAGCCCGATGTTCTGTTAAAACTCAGTGATCGAATTGTAGAGACTGTTTATGTCTATTGGATGCTGTACTCATTCTAACCATTTCTGGTTGAACAGGAAGCTGTATGAAATCTGACGTCTGGCTGAACCCAAAGACAAGCATTGAAGCTTTTGTTCTATGCATTCCACAAAGCTATGTCAAGATGTCCTCAAACTAAAATCCGGATTCATTTGTATGATACATATTGCACCCTGGCAGTGCAGCCTTGGGGCATGAGCAGGCTTCATGACAGTCTGGATATTTGGAAGGCAAGCACAATCCATACACCAGGGTGCTCCGCTGTTTAGATGCGTTGAAAACCATGCAGTTGTGAACAAAACTCATCTGGCTGACTGTGGCTTGGCTTGCGCAACTGTCACCAGGACTGACGCTGTTCTTCGTCCTTGCATTGTGGAATCTGGCAACAGTGCTGCCCACAAATTTGTCGGTGAGAAGCATCATGACGATCGTTGTTGCACTGCAGGAGAGCATATATCGCATCACCATGCCCATTCCTCTCTGTACTTCTACTGAAGTCAGTGACAATATGCGCTGTCTGCAGGGCAACAATGTCGAAGTCTTGCTGAATGGCTCCAACACAACAGCAGAGGTGTGTACAGAGCGGGATTCAAAGCCTCTGCAGCACAATCCACAATTGTGTGTTGATCGCTTTGTTTGCTTATTGCCTGTGTTTGCATTTGTTGGCACACCTGCTTCCCAATGCAGGTCTTTATGAGAAGTTGGCACAGTTGCAGCAGATTCACGCAACCATTGTAATTGCTGCCACTGCACAAGCGGCCTTGTTATGTTGGTGACTGTTCAGCGTGTGAAAGCTCTATGTAGGCCTTTGGTTGTCAGATCACATCCAAGCTATTCTCTAATGTACGCCCGCAGGACAAAAGCAATTACAGCTTGACAGACTTCGATAAGATGGCTATCACCAACCTTGAGCCTGGGAGCTCCAAGTTCTGGGTGCACGTGGCTTCTGCCTATTTTGCCACATTCTATACTCTTCGTGTAAGTGTGAGCATCAAAGAATACGGTGATTTGTGAGTGGCGTTGCTGTCTTTACCCCCCGGATGATTTCTGAACCATTATCACAAACACAGCCAGCCTGTAGTCCAGAACAACAGGAACTTGAATGTCAGCATAGTAGTTGCTTACAATGTGTGCTCTTCAGTCGCCAGAACTACACAAACACAACTGCACACCTGACCTCACAGCTTGCCCTGAAATTGGAGGAACTAGCCTCAAGGAGGTGGCTTCATTTTGTGGCTGCCGATAGATAGCCAAAGGCATGCTTGTTGGCTTGTGCGACTTCTAGTGCAAGCCTCCACAAGTACCTACTTGGCTGGGGTCCAATGTCCTTGGAAGGATGTGGCAGCCAGGAATGGTCAACAGCTTGTGAAGAATATTCCTTATTCCTTAGACTGCCGGTAGGCTCTGCCAAATTCACTGTAGCTGATGCATCTCCAGTGAGGCTGATGGGTTGACAAACATGCTGAACTTCTTGCGTTTTGTGCTTGTTGTGTTACTGTACTGGCTGTGCTTACCTTCAATACCACCATTGTTGGCTCTCACCAAAATGTGAAATGATGACCTGAATATACAACCAATAGTGCCATACAATGGGCAACGTTGTGCAAAAGTGCATCAACACTGTGGTTGCTGCCCTCATCAGCTTTGTTGCTTTTGAAGTACAGATGCCTGAGATTCGAACTTCTCTTTCAAAAGCAGCATCAACCACAATGCAGCAGTCTTGAGTGCAGCAACGCACCGGAATCAGACACATATATACAATCTGAAGGAGCCATGCCTGGCAGAATCAGTGTGTATATCTTTGCTATTGCAGCTGCATTTTCATTTTCTGGAGATTGTGGGATGCATCACTTGGTTTTGTTGCCATTGCAGCTTCTGTGGACATACCACACTGAAGCCGTGAACCTGAGAATAGAGTACCTTGCGACGGCCAAGATTGGCAGTGAATCACATACAGTTCTGGTGACGGATATCCCAGGCTCCTTCTATGGGACCATGCTTGACAGGGCATTGCAGGTGCTGTTGTGAGCATTTATTGAACAAGTCAGCACTGCTGGCTGCAAGCATGTTGTTTCACAGTGGCTCTGCCAGCTTTCCTTTCATCCTGAGCTTGAGTGGGCAGGTGCCAGCTTCTATCACAAAATGTGTCAGTCGTTTGCTACCACTTTGATAACACAACTGATCACGTGTATGCTGTTCAATGCCCCAGCTGCAAAGGAAATGCACCTCTGGAGGGCACCCAGGAAGACACAAATGCAAGGAGATTCGCAGCATCTCCAAATTTCATGTTACCCTTGTTGGTTTTTCTCTTGTTGTGCTGAAGCCACCCTCTAATGTTATGTCTGGGCTTCAATGCCTATAGAAATTTAAATGTGTATGTTGTAGGTAGGCTCTGACTGGGATGCACTTTGGTATGTCTGAAATATGGCACAGATTAAGGGTGGAAATTCTTGTTCATCGTGCACACTTCTATTTTTCCCAACAGTCGCATTGCCAGTTGGCTTTGTCGGCAGATATTGAGGGCTTGACTGTAATTGATTAATGAAACAGGCAATAAATGTTTGATTTTGCATGCTGCGCATATTGCTTGCAAGTTGTAAATTCAGGAATAGAAGGACAGCAACACACTTGCTGGATTGGCTCGAAATGTGCTCTTTGTGTCCTTGGGTGCAGATGTTGTGCATGGGCTTGTGGAGAAGCTTTTGGACCATTTATTGCTCCCAGTTATGCAGACTGATCGCAAACATTTCTGAATCGTCAAGACTAAAATGACTGCTATGTGGCCATCACAGGCTGGTTACCACCAGCTCCTGACCTCTCAGCAGCTGCATATAGCTGCAAAAGTGGAGAAGGTGAAGAATCACCTTCAACAATGAAGTAGCCATGGTTCATTGACGCTTCAGGATTTTGACCTTTCCCTTGCAGGTTGCCCCCAGATGTGCACGTCAATCCATTAGATCGATGCTTGAGGACACAAAGAGAATGTTGTCCACCTCCATCCAAGGAATAGAGGGTGTTGCCAGGGTTGTGGTCACAGGAAGCGTGAAAAATGAGTACGTCAGTTGTGTCTCGTATGGCAAGTTTTCTGATGGCTTATAATTGCATCTTGCATATTTGGAGCTGGAACTATGACCAACTTCCTGCATATCTCGATGTTTATGTGGCCATTGCACGGTCAAAAATCTGCTCAATTAATTGTAGCAGCATAGCAAGCTGCAATGTTGGCTTCTTATTGCCCCCATTTAGGCCAAAATGAGCACTATTGTGCTGCCATGAAATTTGCCACTAGGCCAATGTGCTCTACATTTCTGCCTGTTGGGTAGATTCAGCTGCATGCAACATACCTTGAGTTTCATTTCTGCATTGCAGAAATGAAGAAAATGCCATTGCGGAGGCCGAGTCCAAGACAGATGTGCATCCTTGGAAACGTGCACTGGAAAAGCTTGGCTCGATGTCCTTTCAGGTGTGGATCCATCAGCCATTGTGAAAGGATGTTTCTCATTTCCCGTCACTGTGTTGGCATTCGATGCTTCTGGAAATTTATTGCACTATGCATCTGCAGCTCTTGCTAATAATTGTTAGTGCTCTTCTGGTCTGTGCTGTGTGCATTGCCAGTGTCAGTAGCTGTTGAAATGCGACAAGGAATTTTGCAGTGGTGGTGCTAATTTGCAGCTTTCCTGTTTCTTGCCCCAAAGCTTGGGATTGTCGTGTTTGGAGATGGTGCAGGCTGTGTTGGCTTGGCTTGTTTACAACAACAACACTTCCATAGTTGTAAAGTGCAACACACCGAATGCGGCAAACAGCATATGAGGGCTGCTGTATGAAAGCAGGCAATATGGCTGCAGTCCTGGAGGATGGAACATGAAGTGCTATGAAGGGATCTTATGAAGGCTCTGTGGTCAACATGCTGCACCATCCGAGTTGTCAGAAAGTATTGTGTTAAACCAGTCGTCAAAGGCCGATGTGACATTATTGGCATGGTGCTGTGAGCGCAGGACATGGTGGCGTCAGAATTTCGTGAGGTATACCCTGAGCACGAGGTTGAGTGTGTTAGGGTGGTGCACGATGGAACACATCTGTATCCAGCTGTGACCTTGTATAACACAGTCAAGAGAGAGCTGGAGGACTTGGTGGATGACTACACCAGCAAGTTGACAAGGGGGAAGAAAGTGACACCCAAAGAGGTATGGAAACATGCAGCAGGCACAATGGGTTGTGATTTGAGAGGTGGGGAAAAGCAGGCAACCATTGTCAGGCCGCAACAAGCCACGCATGGCCAAAATTCACGAGCTGCACATCCCTGGCAACAATGATTAAGAGGTTCCTTGGTGAAATGTTTCTGCAGCTTATTGCAGTCAGTCGCTATCAAAAAACAGAGAAATGCACAGCTGGCCTAAAGTTTCTGAGAAAAGAAGTCAGACTGCACAATGGGCACCTCCACATATTTACAGGATTCCGTTTTGCCTGATGACCAGTGCTGGGAGTGACGCACTGCTGGAAGTCATATTTGTCTGGTGTCATGCGATGTTTTGTTAGTGATAAGGTTGCCACTTTTCTGTTGTTTGCTGCAGGTACGTATTGTGCCTGATTTCTATGGTGCTTGGGCTAGGGAGAAGTACCCCACAAGCATTGAAAACAAGTTTGTAAAGGTGGATAAGCTTGAGTTCCTGGCAGCTAGACTCGAGGCTCTGAAAAAACATGTGGAGGAGAAGCAGGGGCAAGCATTGGATCGTCCTGTGGGATCGGCCTTTGTTACTTTCAGGTGAACGATGCTTGTTGGCATCTGTGCTGAATCCTGTGGCATTCACTGTCTTTTCTTGGTATTCTGGCATTTAATTTGGTTGTTGGGCAAGTTTACATCCACTTGTTTGAGTGGTGCACATTCTGTACCTCCAGGTGCAGTCAACATTTCGTATGTCACAATGCTGCTTTCACAAGTTGACTTGATAATTGCAATCCATGCTTGTGCATCGATATCAACAACGTTATTGGTTTTGCATTTAGGTCTCGATGGACTCAGGTGGTTGCCTCAACCTCACTGCAGCACCATGATGAGTGTGTCTGGAAAGTCCAACCTGCCCCTGGCCCTGAAGAGGTGTACTGGCCAAATATCAGGTGGCGCTCTTGGGAGAGAGCGGTTCGGACATTGTTGATGTGGTCAGCTTTTGGAGCTCTATGTTGCACATTCATGATTCCAGTGGCAGCTGTACAGGCATTGGTTCAGATTGATCGTCTTGAGCATCTTCCAGTGGTGAAACAGCTGTTGGAGATGACTTTCTTCCGGTCATTGGTGATAGCTGTCCTTCCTGGTGAGCATGCCCCCTGACACGTGTTGAGCCGTTATCTTGATTTGTGTGCACAGATGATTTGAGGCCAATCCTGATCTTTGTTGCTAGACATATATGGGTCTCAATTCCATGAACTTGTTTGTGTTGCATCTTTGCGCGCTATCTTATTGAGCATGCCATGTGAGGTGGCGGGGAAAGCAAGCTGAGGGGACGTTATATCATGGCTGACTGATTGTTTGTTTCTCTGGCAGGTCTCGTCCTCAAGACGTTCTTGCTGTTTTTGCCAAAAGTCATTGCATATATGAACAAGGTGGAGGGAATGGTGTCACTGAGTGCAATCGACTTTGGTGTGGCTAGGAAATTCTTCATCTTCCAGGTATCAAATTTCTCACCTTTTGTTCTATCAGACTTCTGTTGTTGGCAGTTTTTGGCTGCAACATCAATTGATGGTGGAGTGACTTTGAATAGCCTGCACCTCAGTGTTGCCGCAGTGACATGCGCCGCCCACAGGCATCCCACCTGTTCAGGTCTAATAATGTCAAGTGGCCTCCTGCTTTGATGTGTCTCAATTCTGTTCTTGTTTTCCAGGTGCTCACAGTTTTCTTTGGAAGTTTCATTGCTGGCTCTCTTTTCAGCCAAATTGAAGCACTCATCAAAGATCCCAAGATGATCATCACCATTCTTGGAAACGCTGCCCCACAGACAGCATCGTTTTTCTGCACCTACATTCTTGTTCAGGTGAGTTCTGATGAAATATAAATACGCCCTAAACTCGACTCGCATCGTCTGATGAAAGTACAATGATTATGCGCCCGCCTTGTTCTGGACTTCACCATCACTTGCAATACATCTGCAGGGACGACCTTGCATTGGTGCCTGTCAAAACTGCACCAACCCGTTGCATATCTGTTGGTCGAATGCATCAGCAGAGTAAGCATTGTTGTGACTGTTCTTTGTGTCACAGACTTCCTGCCATGTTCCATTCTCGGAGTAGCTAATGTGGTTGTGGCTAACTTTTTGTGCTGCAGACCTTCTTTCATGCTCCATTCTCTCTGCTGAGATTTTGGCGCTTTGGCCTGTACTGCGTCAAGCATTTTCTAGCTGCTACAGAGCGTGCAAAGGCACGCCTGTGGCAGAACCAGAAATCACCATATGGAGGAGTGACACCACACCACACTATTGTGATACTCCTCGGAATCGTCTTCGCAGCAGTCAATCCGATCATCACTCTCACTGGGTTGGCTTATTTCGTTGTGAACATTGTTACCTGGAGGTATCAGCTGCTGTATGTCTTCAAGGAGACTTACCAATCAGGCGGCAAGCTGTGGGTTCAGGTTCGCGCCCAGTCCAGTGTCATGCAACATGGAGATCGCCTTTCCTTCATATGCTGTGTTGTGCATGACATTCTGGAATGTAGGTTCCATTGTGCCATATGCTGACATCAAACTTCACAACTTCACTAGGTGCTGCAAGTGGCAAGTAGCAAGGAACAATTTGCTGGTCTAGTTTAGGTACTTGAGAAGTTTGTGGTCATCAATGAAAATTGAGCAAGCCTGTTGTGGCAAAAGTAGCATTTGTGCTTTGACACAAAGGTTTGGCTCAAGGGCCATTAGTGAAGCCTTCAAAGCCATAACATTGCTAGATTCCTTTATTTAATTTACCTTTGAAGACAAGGTGGGGCCCTTGCACCTTGCTGGGCATGCACACATCCAAGCATTTTCAGCTTCTTACCAAGTCCAACATGTATTTGATTGGTGTGTTCAGTCGATTGCCAGAAAAGTCATGGTTGCCTGAGGATGCCACAACCACATACCTGTAGGGTCCACTGCATCTGGTGGATGACATGTGTGAGACGAACACTGGGACAAACAATGGGCATACTGTTCTTTTGTGGTGTGGTGGGGACATAGCCCTCAGTGGCTGACACACAATAAATGGAGTATCAGCAGCAGCATCTGGTGGCAGGTTGTCCGAGGGAAATCTGCTGGATCCACTGGGATATGGTGTCAATGGCTCTTACAACTAAAAGGTCTGCACAACAGACCCTCATTTTGCTGCTATTCTGGTTGCGAGTGCAACATGGCTCCTTATCGTAGTAGCACCACCAGTCAAACTGTTGTATGTTGCTGTTCAGGTGTTTGACCAGATCCTGACTGCCTTGGTGATCATGCAACTGATGATGATTGGACTGCTTGGTGTGAAGAAATTTCCATATGCTGTGATAGTTGCCCCACTGCCATTCATCACAACTTTCTTTTGGATTGCATCTGAGAAGCTCTTCAAGAGGCCATTAAGTGTGCTGTCTTTGAGGGGGGCTTGCGATATTGACAAGAGCGACAAGGTATTGTGTGGTAGAGCATTCCATTTGGTCAGGTGTTGGTCCACGAATCGCTGTGTCTCGGAAGCCTTGAATGCGTGGCTTGATTTTGGTTCTTACAGTATATGTGCAGTTGTAGGTTGTGAACCTGCAAGAGCACATTACCCTGAATTCTGCGCACCGCAAAAGAGGGGTGGGGTGGGTGGGGTTCCAAAGGGCAGACCGACTGTATACGCTGATGTGCTGTTACCTTTCCCCTGCACCTTGTGGGTTGACAGTTCACTTCCATCCACATCAGCATGCATGGCAGCCCTGCTGCTCTTTCTTTGGGTTTACCATGTTTGATCTGTTTAGGCTGCTGCTGCGGCACACCCACAGTCTCTTGAAGAGAAGAATGAAGCTGATCGCCTGTATCTGTCACCCTACTTCAAAATCAATTCTGCTGCGTTTGAGGAACTGCTGACACAAGCAAATACAGTGAGCAATGTGCTGAAGGGAGAAGACGTCAGCCTTCCTAAGGTAGGTTGGTGTTGTTGTTCCCAAGTAGACAAATGGCATGTTGAAATTTTCAAGTGGGTGGGCGGGCGGGTAAAGCCAAAGCATGTTCTGGTGGTTGCCTTGGTAGCATTTGCTGTAGGTTAGATCGCTCCTGGTATCTGCATTGCATATCAGCTCCATCGGAATATCTGTTCCGGAAGACACACTTTGCCCCTCTTCTGCACAGTGGGACCTGCTTGGGGCTGTGCTGCATAGCTGGATCCTTTCCATCAAGCTATAGCGTCTGCCTGGATGTTCACTCATTTGCGTGCACTCAATTCAGTCTACTCGCGGGGATGAAATGTTATGGAGTGCTGAAGACGATGAGGGTGGCTCAACTGCCGAAGCGGGCGACTCACTGCGGGTAAGGAATGTGCTAAGGCAATGCCTGGTGTCGCGGCTATCGAACGGAGAGAAAATCACTAGAGTGGCAGGTTGCAACTTCTTGCTCATGGTTTTGTTGACTATGTGGCCTTGTGTATATTACAGTCATACATTGCGGTGACTCAGGAAGCATGTTGCCTGCCAATAGTGGCTAACATTTCCTTATTAACGGGAATGTGTTTCGTAGTTTGCTGGTGGCTGACAGATGTATGCGTATCTGGCTGTTTGGCATCCAGTTCCCTACATGGCAGCCAACGGCGCTTTGCGATCAACGAAAGACTGTTGCCAGAACACAATCACTGGTTCGCAAATGTTAGGACGATGTTCTTTCGGTAACATGCGAAAGGAAGCGGACAATTGGAAAAATTGAAGTCCAGATCTCAAACGCGAGCAATGCATGCACGCTTGGAGCACAAGATGTGAACGCCCTGGGAATGGTGCACAATGGACACATTGCGCAGCAGCATTTTTCAAGGATATTGAAATTGGAATTTATTGTAGATTTTGAATTGATTCTGAATTTTGAAGACAGCAGTGAACCCTGCTGGCCACTCCCATCCACCGTCATCATTGGAAATGGCCTTCAATGCGATCCGCAGAGAAGTCTTTGCACTGCTGCAAAAACCCACCCCACTCTGTGCTCCTCCTCCTGGAGACGCTTCAGACTCAATGTCGGAGAATGGAATTGGTCCACGTTGGTTCAAGAAGATGCCAATGAGCGAAGAGCTTGAACGACGATGCCAAAAAAACTCAGAATGTCGAAATGGTGAAGAGACTATTGAACAGTGATATGTGGAAGTATTGGGAATTGAGGAATGGGCAGTTTGATCCCAGCTGCAGGTCGACCCATCCCCCTGTCAGGATTTGCACTGCTCCCACCTGTTGGAATGTTGACAGTGCTCAACCAAATGTTTGAGACCTGAGCATTTGACCCTGTCGTGTGTTTTGCCCCCAGACTCCATTGATACCTTGAACGTGCCAACCTTCATCACATTCTGATCAGAAGGCCAGCTGTGAGTATTGCATGTTTTGCACAACTGCCTGTGTCAGCGTGCTTGTGACGGTCCCGATCGGGGACGACGCCGAAACGGAAACGGTGTTAGGTCATGTACAAAACATGCAGTCGCCACGTTTGAAATCTCCTCCTCGCTTTGATCTCTGTTGGAGCCATCAAGACATCTCCATGGGCACTGTTGCCGCAGCCCTGGCGATTGGCCTTTTGTTCTTTCTCGTCTCGTTGTACCACCCCGTGAGATCACCGCACCGTCTTCGTGATGGTGTGGGTGTGGGCGTGACAGTGCTTGGCTTCGAAGCAAAACCCGCTCCCAGATCGTGCACAGAAGATTCGAGCGAAACCAAGGTGCCAGGGGTGGCCTGCCCGTTTGTACATGATCGTATCGTGCACACAGGAACACAAGCTCCATCCAAGGTCCTTGGACCTTGGGAGTCGAATTTCAGGATGTTGGCATTTCGAGTTCGGCCACAGCTTTAAGCCGTATACTCGCAGTTACACAACAAGTTGTCAACCCCGCAATGCCAGTTGCTGTTCCCACCCTTTCAGCTATTGCCCCATGCACTTTACGCACACTGGTGCCTTCCTCTTGAAAGCTAGCAGTCAGCCACCCACCTTCGAGTTGATAGAACATATACCTTGTTGCAGATTCTGCTGAACGCGTTTTCGCGGTTTGTGGCAATCGGCCCGGTTGCCCAAACTTGCACCCCCACTGAGCATTCACACTCTCATATTATGTCAGCATCAAAACGCTACGGCGAAACTGATGAATCGTCACAGTCTTATGTTGACGTGCAGTCCCCACAAATTGTTTGTTGCAAAGACTGCAAGGTAAGCAGCACTCCTCACCACGCACTCTATCCTACTCCCTCCTGATGCTAGTTTGCCTGAGCCCCGCCTGGTCGAAAGCACTGCAAGTGTCCATCAACATGTTATCCTGAGTGGATGCGAACCATACAGATGTGTCAACACCAGCTTATGTCATGAGCTTGTCCCCAATCCACGACCACTTGTGAAGGCAGCAAGGAATCCAGTGTTCCTTGCGCCACGCTCCATTCACTTTCCTCACCGTCACCAGCCACCGCACAGTCCCTCGCTGGCATAAGAGACTGAAAACCACCTTGATTGCTCTGAACCTAGGAGCGCAAGTGCTGAAAACAATGACAACACTGGAAGCTTTATATCGTTTGACGCGCTTCCCCTCCTGCGATCCAACCTGGCAGGGAGGTATTTTTCCTCCACATCATGTACTCAGAAACGCTTCCTCACGGTGCCAAGAGCCCTCACGGGCACAAGTAATTACAAAATGTCTTTGGTCCACCTGATCCTGCAGTTGATGCTAATAGAAAGGAACCACAAAGAAAAAGAAAACTTATTTTAGGCTCGCCTGCTTTGCCCTGACGTCAACGTCATTGGGACGACGGGGAGTCGAATCCGACCCCGCGCGACCACACCACCTCCCCGTGTCCCTCCCCAGCCATCAAGGCTGGAAGATATTCAAAACGTCCGAGATCGTGATGATGGACAGTGGATGCGAATCATCATCCACCACGTACACCCGGTGTACTTTGTTAGTCACTATGGCATCGACGACGGCGAACAGCGGCTCCTGTGGCCTCACAGCAACCAGCTGTTTCCGGGCGCCCTTCTTCTCAGCCCCCTTCAGGCCCCACTCGTCCCTCAGGCCCCAGCCGTCCGCCCAGGCCACCGCCTTGGACGGCCACCCCTCCCGCGTCCTCCTCAGCGTCATGAACTGGAACACCGGCAGGCTGAGCGCGCCGAAATGGTGCGGCTCCAGCCCCCGCAGGTCGGAGGCACTCAGGTTGGCCACCAGGCAGCCGCCGTTCCGCTGATCCACGATCCCCACGCTTGACACGTCACACGCGTCCATCGTGGCGAAGGCGTTGATCGCCGGCATGTCGCAGGGCACGCACACCACCTGCTTGGCCGCCAAGCCCAGGGCGTGCACGGGCATGGCCATCACCAGCCCGCACTCCCCCTTGTGCTGGTGCAGAAACCTCATGATGTCCGACTGGCTTATCACGTCCGTGACGTGGAGCTGCAGCTTGCGCCTGCCCTCCTCCGGCTCCTCGTCCTCGTCGGCTGTCCAGTTCTGGTCCTGGCCCTCGACCCCGCCGTCAGCACCCTCCTCGCCCTCAGGGCCGCCACCCGGCTCCTGCTGGAGGGCCTCCGCCGTCTCCTCCAGGTCGAACACGGCCACCCTGTGCGTCTCCCGCCCCTTTCCGCCGCTCATGCAGTACCGCACCACCTCCAGCAGCGTGTGGCGCACGTTGGCCTTGTGGATCATCTGGCCGTCGTCTCCAACCCGCACATTCTTGAGGTTCATCTTGGACATTCTGATGCCCGCGGTACGGAGCCTGTACGCCAGCTCCTCCCGCGAGATCTTCCTGACCTCCACATTCTGGAGCACGTAGCTCAGGAGGTCCCGGCGGTCCAGGAATCCCAGGTAGGCCCCCGTGGAATTGTCGAAGAGGGGGGCGCTGAGGATGTTGTAAGTAGCCAGCTGGACGAGGGCATCTCCCACGGTGGCGTTCACGTCCAGCGTCACCACGTGGCTGGGAGGCCGCTTGCTCAGGTAGTCCTTCAGCCGTGTCCGGCCGAGGAGGGCCCGCACGGGCCCGCCCACCTCAGGGGGAACGTCTGCTAGGCACATGGTGTTCTCACTCGCGGTTGACCCGCTCCAATAATCGGTATGTCACGAGCAGCTCGCTGCCCCGCCCCGCTTAAAACGGCGGCGGGGGCTGTACGGTGCAACCGCGTATCTACACGTCAGCCCCGGCCGGGCGAATCGGCTGTCGTTCCAGGGAATTCGCGAGGCCACGCGAGGGGTGACGGCGCGCCGATTCAGCACAGATTTTTTGGGCCCGGGCCAGGGGCCACGACGAGGGTCCACCCAGCGGCTGGCTGGCCCCGTGGTTCGGCCAATCAACGGCGACGCAGGGATACAGTCAGACCGCGATGGGACAAGACTGACGCGTTACGAGGTGGTGTGGCCGCGCTGCGGCGCTTGTGTCCCGTCTTGGGAGCGCACAGGCACCCCACAGGCGCGCTGAAGCTGTGTCGCCTGGGTGCCCCGTGCCAGCCACTTGTGGGTTTGCGCCTGGAACCCGAGGCATTGTATCCTCGGCACTACGGCAGTACACCCGGAGGTACAATTGTGCGGGCATTGCAGGGGGCGCACCCATACCGCTGTGGACAAGATCGGTGTAACGGCGTACAAAAGGGTACAAGTGTGTCAAGGCAGGATTGGGGCACTTTCGGGCCCCGGGGGATCGGAGTCCCTGGGAGAAGCCGCGACGCGTACACTAAGGGGGCTGTCACCCTTCCTTTTCGCCCGTTGCCCTTCCAAAGGTTTACCTCACTGTATGATACACCATCAATCAATTCGCGTCGGTGAACAGTCACCACTAAGATACGTATCCTGCCAATGTTACTAAGCTGCACTCAGTCTCGAGTTCACACACATACTGTGAACCAACCGGCCGGTTGGTTCACCGACCATGCCGCGGCACGCGTGATGCGTCGAAGCCATGTGTTGACAGCAGCCGTTCCAATTGCTGGGTTCAGCGCCGACGTGCGCACGTCAATAGCGCTGTAGACCCACGTGGGCCCTTCTTGGGGTCAACCAAAGTACCTCATGATACTTACAGTCCCTCCAATGTCTCAAATACTCACCGCATTCCCCCCCAACGCTACCACGAAATCAACAGACAGCGCACCGTTCATACAACGTGGTCCCAGCCGACTGCTTCCGCAGCCCACTCACCCTCGGCCTCAACAGAACCTACTTGTGACCCCAATGGCCTCAGGTCGTGAACTATCAACTGGAAACCGAGGCTAAGCCGCCAACCGATCGGTTGGCTCCCAAGACACGCCCAATTGCTCCACACCAGAATGCTCAAGTGCGTGTCACCATTTGCCAACACTCGAGCCAACAAATCATCCAATTCGCATCAAAAGCCGAAACAAAAATTTCCGAATTGGTTGCCTGACTGTCCCAGCCTCAAATCTAAGTTTAGAGTTGAGGCTGGGTCAGTCAGGCACCAATTCTCTGATGCGGTGTGACAATTCTGTGCTCTGTGGTGTGTTGAGTCGTGTTCTTTCTCGTGCTCTCTTTTCATGCTTTGAAGCATGCAAAAAGAACACGAGAAGACACACGAGTCAGCACATCACAATGCAAAATTAGCAGCGGCAGCAAGCCTTCCTCACTGCCTGGATGCCATCGCTGTTGTCATGGTCGTCACTTGACACGCACCATCATGCCTGATCAAGACATCATGCTGCTTGTGTTCTCTTGGGACATGCAAAACAAGACCGCCGCAGAGGGAAAGCTGGCCAAGCCCTGACATCCGCACAAGGCTTGTGTACCATGAAAGCAATGATCAGTGACAGGTGCCTTCCAGACACCACAGGCGCCGCCTTGACTATCGTTTCTTGGTTTCAGCAGTTCTACCTCGCCTCTGCGATCACCGTGATATAGCCTGACTGCGCCAGCAGCCGCCCTTTGCCATCCCATCACACCACCACATGCCCCAGGACAACCTCTCGCCATGAGCACCTCCTCCTCGATCGACCACCATGACCACCATAGCGCCGATATGCTACACGACCTCACAGCCAGGCTTGTTATTTACGTTCACAGCACTATTTTTTTGAGTTTAGGTTTTTACGCATAAAAAGGCGTAAAGAAGGAAACGGCTATATTTACGTATATTTTCACAGCTCGCCGACAGACCCGGGTTATGTGATGATTTTCCAAACAGTGATCAGTTCTCCAACCGGTCTTTGCCTTCCTGTCTCTACTCCAACGGGGATTGTTTGTGCTCGGAAGGGGGCCATTTCTTTTGGTATTTCACTTGTAAAGACATAAATTAGAATCGAATGGCAAATTTTCTAATTCTTGGCCGCATAGAGACATCTTCCAGTCTGGGAGTCATAAATTTGCACCCAGTCCTCGGCCGTGGTATGGACGCATCACTGCTTTCTTTTGTATTCTGCCCTAATTTGAATGGAAGAGGGGCGGGATCCGTTGACTTGCAATCTCTTCGGCGGATAAACAAGTGCACATGCATGAATAACAATTTTCTCAACCTATTCTTTGAGGATTCGGCGACGGTGATGGTGCAGATACTTGCAGCCTGTTTTCTTAAGCAGACTGTGTCCACTCCGTCAATCCAATGGCGAATATGAGATACATTTCTCTTTCATCGCGTTGCCTACGATAGTAGGCGCTGAAGCCAATCGAGTGTTTCTTCCTGATACAAATGCCAGATCGCATTTGATTCCATCGGGCAAACTGGGTAGCTAACAGCCGCCTTCTTGCCTTGACATGCAACACTTTTTGAAGAAACATATTCTTGACTTGCACTGAAACCCAAGGCACCTGACGCGTGGGTGTCCTGTCTTATTCGCATGTGCACATTCCCTGGCATACTGGTACCTGGCAGCATCTGAACATTCCTGGGCACACCGGTCGCATGTGCACATTCCCTGGCATACTGGTACCTGGCAGCATCTGAACTGTCCTGGGCACACCGGTCGCATTTGCACATTCCCTGGCATACTGGTACCTGGCAGCATCTGAACTGTCCTCGGCACACCGGTGTGTCCAGTCACAAGGTGGCCGCAGCCACGAACCGTCATGTGTGCAGTCTTTAACAGAGCCCACCGCCGAGTGCACTATCCGCGTCACGCTCCAGCTGCCACATAAGCCTGCAGCACAAGCCAAAACACCACTGGCAGTGGCTTTGAGCAAACCGCTTCCCGGGCGTTGCTAGCAGCCCGGTTGTTCACTCGATGGGGCGCGTGCGCGTCCGCGTGTCGGGGGACACGCGCAAAGCGCAAAAGGTGGACGTGTCGGCGGAAACAACCCTCCAGGAACTGAAGGAGAAGGTGGTGTGCGTGCTGAATATTGGCCACCGGATCGACGCACAGAGCTGCCGCCTGTCCTTGAACAAGAGGGTAAGCCACCGGGTTTGGGCGACAAACGTGAGTGGGTGCAAGTGCGGCTCACACCCTTACCGCAAGCATAGTTCAGCAGTCTGCTTCTCCATTGAGTCCTGTTTGGGTTTTACAGTCCCCGCTCCTGTTGTTGCGCCGGCAGGATGACCTTGTGGACTCGCCAGATTCGCTGTTGAAGGACTGCGGCGTGTTGAACGGGGATCTGATATGGGTGATGGGCCTGGAGGGAGTGAGCGAGGCGGGGCACACAACAGGCTCCGTGGCAGGCTCCTTGTTGGAGGCCTCCCACCCTCCACCCGAGCATTCGACATCAGCGCTTTCAGAGGAAGGTCCCGCACGTGACGGACGGATTGGGGCCCCCGGTGCACTGGGAGGGGATACCCCCACTGGAGACACAAGTGCAGCCATGGATGTGGACGCCGTGGGTGTTGGCCAGGTGCGTGTAGAAGTGGTCCCCGCTTAGGCGAGTTGGGTGGAGCTGAGGTCGAAACTGCAACAGTTTGTGCAAATCTTGTGCTTTGTCCCTCGAAGTTGTGCTGGCAAGTTCAGCCTGTAGCTTGTTCTGAATGATGGCAAACCTCTGCTGGTTCACAGGCACAGAAGCTGGGAAGCTGATGTGAGGTTGTGAATTTGCCGCCCATGTTGGACATGTTGTTATCTAATTTTGTGATTTGGCTCAGATTGTGCCTGGCATCGCTGTGGAGGGGCCACAAGCACCAAGGGTTCTGGCATCTGTGCTCAGATGCTGGACAGATGCTTTCTCACCTGTCAAACTGCTGCTGGCAGTCATCCATTCTGCCATGGTCGAGGCTGGCTTCGAACCTATGGGTGAAGGCAGCGAGACAACGCATGTGAGCGGTGTTGCACAGCATGGTCCCTATTTTTCTGGATCCTTTATGTTGTGCTGCTATTGTAACAGTTGACTACTAGACTTTGTGCCCATACAAATTCAGGGTCTGCGAAATGCGTGTTTCAGCTTGAATGCCCCCATGAATGCCTGCAGTGCATAGATTCCCCCCTCACCCCTGCTCCTTATCAGAAAGTCTTTCACACATCACACCTGCTGTGGCTGCACCGAGCAGCCCTGACAGCTTGTTCTGGTCGTTTGGCAGGGCGGTGGCCTGTTCGACGCCTCTGTGCCAGGTCTGTACTCATTGCATTACAGGCTGTCAACTTCATCCCTTCTTCCCTATGCGGATGAAAATCAGTCAGCTGAGTGCAGCCAGAGCAGTCCTGGTCCCCAGGGCTCAGCGCTTGTCCGTTGCATGGAGATAGGCAGTTATTTGATGGTCTATGGGTACTGCAAAGAAGAGAGCAATACATACAGAAGTTTGCCGCTGGACGTTGCCCATCTTGTGGAGAGCAAGGAAGGCAAGCTTGTTCTACATGACCTTGAAGGACTGTGGCGGACGTTCAAAGACACTGTGGCGATACCCCTGGTGTCCATGGTGGCCCATTTTTGTGGCCGGCTCCCAAGGTTGGCACTCCTATCACTTCCTGAGGAAACTAAGGAGCTGATTTTGAAGATGTTGACCATGAAAGATGTCGTATCCATATGCAAGGTCTCAAGAGAGTTTTGTCGACTGGGCTCAACTAACCGGCTGTGGCGGGCACTGTTTCAGCAGGAGTTTGGTCCAGCAGGGGATGAGGAGGATCGGCAGGGAAGGGCCCTGGGTTGGAAAGTCTTGTTTGGACTCAAGTGGCAGTTGCGAGCGAGGCACCGTAGGCTGGCTGCTGAGTCACGTGACCCTTGGCGCCATTGGGGCCATGGGGAGCACCCAAGGAGGCAACCAGCACCAAGGTTTTACCCGGAACCTGGCCTCCCTGCATGGCCGGGAATGCCAGCCGGGGGGGATGTGGATAGGCTACCGTTTCTTGGAGGTGCAAGGCCATTCTTGGGCCTGGGAAGGGGCAGGGGTTACCCACGGGGCTTCAACTTCGACATCATGTAGTGCCCCAACCACCACTGGTATTTCTATTCTGTACATTTTGTGAGCAGTCAGTGACACATTCATTGGTCCATTGCCATAGAATTGTGTGCAGCTTTTCGCATCGTGAAAAATCGCAACGGCAGGGTCGATGCTGGTGCTTTTGTCCTTTTGTGGAATTTGGATCACGATGCTCAGTGCTGGCCCCTTCTCTGTTTTGTTGCCATCTGCTGATGCCATGGATGGGCTCACAACCTCACACTACCCGCCATTCAGGGCCTACAAGCAGAGTAGCGGCGAGGCTCACTTGCTTTTGTCGTGCGCAATGAGTCTCTCGAGAACGTGTCCTATTTTGCTCTCTGCTCCGTGTTCATGTAGAAGGAAAGGGTGTGGGTGCAGCAGTCCAAATGTACTAAGAACCACCAGGTGAACGCAATGCCAAAGGACGCTGCAGTGTGTCATTGCGACACATCGTTACGTCCCTTGGCACATATCATAACCTCGCACCTGAAGTCACAAAATTGTTACGTGATATATTCATAGCGGAACAAGTCGAGAATGTTAGAAGACGTATCCGAAGTGTACGTTCTGCGTGGGAGGTATCCCAATATACTGTTGGTTGCATCTGCCCGAAAAGTGCCAAAATTTGCGCGTAAAATGCTATGACCAGCGTTATTCCATCTGAAGGTTTGTTCAAGAAAGTTTCCTCATTCCCTTCACACTGGACAGCCCGAAATCCTAAAGAAGTGTGGAGAGGGGAACTGAAATCCCGAACTGCCTCACAGCCAATCACTCGCATCGTGGAATGAAATGTTTGAATCCATGATGCAGCAGGGAAGTTTCTGACACCCGCTTCTTCGTGCCCATGCTCCTACGTTCATCGCACCAACCCAGGACATGTGACTAATAGCCACGAACCCGAGGGCACCAAAACGTTCACAACGCTGCACCTTACTCGTTGCGCTCAATGCACCCCTTGGACGCCTGTACAACCCAGAGACACGAGGTCAGTGAGCGGCATTGTTCCCCTTCCTGCCTCTGTGAGACGCATATCTGGCGCAATATTGGAAGTACGCATATCTTAGGACGTCCAATTGTGAGAAGAAAGCAATCCACGAAACGCTCCATGGCTTCCATTAGGTTTGGACCTCCGTTGCATGAAAAGCTGCCGCTATGTCCCATTTGTGATGTACCATCGGATGCAGTTGTGCATACCTGGCATACCTCAATTGTTCTCAGGCAACTTGAGTATGTCCTAAAAAGGGGAAGAACCCACATGCACCCTTGGAATCATTGGGGAGAATCTGGTCCAACTACAGGTAACAGTGCAAACTTGTTTCGGGAATTGCTCACAAAAATGCGTTCCACGAACGCACTCCTTGCGTCCAAGAAAAGGGAAAGCCCTTGCTCGTTGAGCAACTGACTGCATTATTGTACTGTGGGGAAACACTGTATGAGCATTCTAGCCCTGAGATGAATACTCCGTAGTATGAAGTGGGAGACGTTTCTCGCTCAAGGCCCTAACATAGCCCCATAGTGGCTGCAGTGGCGTGGAGCGTATCAGACCAGCGAAGCACCGCTGCCGCCTGACCCACCCCTCTCGCTGTCCCATTGCTTGGTCTTCCGCGTACGTCGCAATCTCCTATCTCCCCTCCCAACAGCTGCTGTCGCCAAGTCGACCCCTGTGGTTCAGTTGCGAAGCCATGACACCACCCGCCGAGGACCTGAACGCCACGGCGGGTGTGGGGCCCCGGCAGACCGCGCGGTAACGTCTCCCTACCGGCTCCCTTGCTCCGTGCATGTGAGCCGCCCTCCCGCCTTGTCTCTACCAAAGAGTGCCGTACGATGCTCCACGGTCTGAATCCACTCTATGCCCTACTCTTTTGGATGCGCATGTACCTGTCACCGCTTGCATGGCGCAAGGGCCGTGCCTAGTCTTCCGCCTAGTCGAAGGTACTTTGGAGCAAAGAAATTTTGTGCCCACCATTGCATCCCTCGTGGAGCTGACGGCTGTCTCCTTACCTTGATCTGCAATCTTTCTTGAAACGCAGCGCCTCTCTTGGCAGCATATTTTGGCGCTGGTTGACGTCCCCTACATGGCAAGCCAGAGGGTGCCTTTTGGTTTTCGCATTGAACACGGCATGTGCCCTTGAACGGCACGGCTCTAAAAGGGTGGCTTCTAGTTCCACCATCGGTTACATCGAAAACTGCACTTCCAGCACAAGACAGCTCGTACTGTGGTTCGGTGTCCACATGTGACGTTGGGAAAGTGGTAGAAATTGGATGGCGCCAACATGGCGATTGTGAGTGCGCGACGAGATGCAGTTACTTTGAGCTCATGTGTCAAGCAAGCAGTCTAATGTGCTTGAGGGGATATGCCCACATGCATGTGCAATCTTGAGCAAGGATCGCGGTGGCTATGTAATGCACCGCAAACATATATGAAAGCCATCAAAAAATATAGCCATGTGGCACATTCGGATTCGCGATACCATGTTGATCTCAATCAATCATTGTTCCACCGCCATCTGGCGATGCCTGGTAGATTTGCTCAGAAAAAAATGTATCAAAGTGACGTGCTTTACCACGGTATACACTTCTGCTTCCCCCGAGCCAAAAATGCTGCATTTCTCAAGACCATCGATATCAAACCATTGGTGAAATTTATACGTTCAGAGTGTTTCAAATCTCCACACGGAGATATTTAGATTGTCTATGAACTACGTCATGTGACCTGGACATTGTACCCTCGCCTGCTATTGGAACATTCTGATCTGACTGTTGCCATGGAATGAACGCGAATAAATTGTTCTATGACGCCGCGATTATCACTCTCTATGTTTTGGCAAATGCATCTGACACACGGACATACTGCGTAGGTACGTGAATGAAAATCCCTCAAAATTTCGAAGGCGTGGCTCATTGGTTGATCGATATAGGCAGCGGGCTCCCAGGATCTGGATTCCTGGAAGATTTTCTTGAAGTAAAAGAGGAAGGCGTACTACTTCTGGTTGCCAGGCATCAACCATGGGATTATCGTGCTTCAAACCCCTGGCCACACTGCACAGACCCGCGGAGGCGATAAGGGTTATCAATGCCAACACTGGGGACGCTCACCCACAGTACAAGGGAAACTACGTGTCCACTACAAAGTACAACCCAATAACGTTCATACCCAAGGCCCTGTTTGAGCAGTTCCGGCGTGTGGCCAATGGATACTTTACCCTTGTGGCAGCCTTGTCCCTCACGGAGTACAGCCCTGTGCACCCGAGCACCACATTTGCCCCTCTCCTTCTCGTCCTTGGCGTTTCGATGTGCAAGGAAGCATGGGAAGACTACAAGAGGTTCAGGAGCGACTGGGAGGTCAACAATCGGCTGGCCTCCGTGTTTTCCACAGAGCATCAAGCTTTTGTGACGCTCAAGTGGAAAGACGTGACTGTGGGTGACGTGGTCAGCGTCGCAAAGGACGAGTTCTTTCCGGCAGATTTGTTGCTTCTGTCCGCGGAAAGCGAGGAGGGGTGCTGCTTCATCGAGGCAGTGAACCTGGACGGAGAAAGCAATCTCAAGATCAGGAAGGCAGTTGAAAAGACCAGCTCGATGCGGGTTGATAACGTTCGAGACTTCACGGCCACAATAGAGTGCGAGCAGCCCAACCCATCGCTGTACACGTTCACGGGCAACATCCGTTTGGGGCCACCGTATATCGGAGAGGAGACGGTGGTGCCGGTGTCGCCCACATCCATGCTTCTGAGGGGATGCAGCTTGAAGAACACAGCGCGCGTCATTGGCGTCGTCATTTTTTCTGGCCACGAGAGCAAAGTGATGATGAACGCCAGGGACCCTCCCTCCAAGCGCAGTCGCATTGAGAAATCGATGGACCTCGTGATTCTGTTCCTGTTCGCACTCCTTTTCGCAATGTGCCTGTGGGGGGCTGTCTATTTCTCCAGCTGGACGAGCGAGGAGAGCGACAAGGCGTGGTACCTATCGCCCGAGACGCCAGTAGATGAATTTGATCCGAGGGCTCCGGGAATAGTTATGATATCGAGTTTTGTGACGAGCTTCATCCTCTACGGCTACCTGATTCCCATATCCCTATATGTGTCCATTGAAACGGTCAAGGTAGTGCAGAGCATGGTATTCATTTCTGGAGACAAGTCTATGTACATGAAAGAGACGGACACGCCGGCAATGGCAAGGACATCCAACTTGAATGAGGAATTGGGCATGGTGGACACCATCCTGTCGGACAAGACAGGTACCCTGACCTGCAATGTCATGGATTTTTTCAAATGCTCTATTGGCGGCGTTCTCTACGGCCAGGGTGTCACAGAAATAGAGGCCGCGAACGCCAAACGCCTGGGATACAACCTTGAAGCCAGGGTGTCTTCCGAGGGGGAAAAGTACAGGGAACAGTACTTCAATTTCTACGATCCTCGGCTTCTCGACCGAAACTGGGAGAAAGAAGACAACAAGGAGACCATATTGCATTTCTTCCGTCTTTTGGCCGTGTGCCACACCATAATTCCAGATGTGCAGGGCGGAGAGCTCGTGTACGAAGCGGAGTCGCCTGATGAGCAGGCGCTGGTGGTGGCGGCCAAGAAGATGGGTTTTCGTTTCTGTTGGAGGGGCCCTTGCTCCGTCAGGGTCCAAGAGAGCGTGGGCGGGACGACGCGAGACATGGAGTACGAAATTCTTAACATATTGGAGTTCACCAGCACGCGCAAGCGGATGTCGGTGATATGCCGGGGACCCGATGGGGGCATCCTTCTGTACTGCAAGGGCGCGGACACGGTGGTGTACGAGCGGCTGGACCCAAGCTACAGGCCCAACCAGTGGATGAAGAAGGCGACTGGACGCCACATGGACGACTTTGGGGGAGCGGGCCTGAGGACTCTGTGTCTGGCGTACGCAGAGCTGGATCCCCGCGTGTACGATGCCTGGCAGCACGACTACATCGCTGCCAAGACGTCATTGGAGAATCGAGAGGCCAAGGTGGACGCGGTCGCGGAGGCCATAGAGCGCGACCTGCGGCTGCTGGGTTGCACAGCCATCGAGGACAAGCTGCAGGCGGGCGTGCCGCGGTGCATTGCGCAGCTCAAGGAGGCCGGCATTCGCATATGGGTGCTCACTGGCGACAAGCAGGAGACCGCCATCAACGTCGGCTTCGCCTGCTGCCTCCTGCACGACGACATGGTTCAGTACATCGTGACGGCGGACCTACCGGACGTCGTGCAGCTGGAGGATAGCGGCCAGATGGCGAGGGCGCGCGCCCTGGCCGGAGAAAAGGTGCACGAGCAGCTGCGGGACGCCCTGGCGCACATGAGGGAGGAGAGGGGCGACGACCCGGAGGTCGCTGCTCCCCCCAAGACGGAACGCGCTCTCATCATAGAGGGCAAGGCACTGGGCCACGCGCTTTCTGCGGCTTCGCGTCGTCTGTTCGTCGACCTGGCGACGGCGTGCGACTCGGTCATTTGCTGTCGCGTGTCCCCAAAGCAGAAGGGGGAGGTGACGGGGCTGGTGAAGGGCACGGGCAGGGCGACGCTGGCTGTAGGCGACGGCGCTAACGACGTGGGCATGATCCAGGAGGCACACATCGGCGTGGGCATCAGCGGGCAGGAGGGCATGCAGGCCGTCATGTCCAGCGACTTCGCCATTGGCCAGTTCCGATTCCTGGAGCCGCTTCTCCTGATTCACGGCAGGTGGTGCTACAAGCGCATCTGCCACATGGTCTCCTTCTTCCTGTACAAGAACCTCTTCCTGGGCCTGACCATATTCGCCTACAACGCCATCTGTCTCTTCAGCGGCCAGATCATCTACGACGACTTCTACATGTCGCTGTACAACGTCACGTTCACGTCGCTGGCGCCGCTGGCGGTGGGCCTCCTGGACCAGGACGTCAGCAAGGGCGCGTCCCTGCGCTACCCGGGCCTATACCGCCAGGGCCAGAGGAACGAGTACTTCAGCGTCTGGGCCATCTTCACGTGGTTCGTCCACGGATTCGCTCACGCGGGCGTGACGACCGCCATCGTGTTCGCCGCCACCTCCGTCCACGCGGACAGGTCTTCAGGAGAGACGCACGGCCACTGGCAGACGGGCACCATGCTGTTCTCGGCAGTGGTGGTCACGGTGCACGCACAGCTGGTGTGCACGCTGGAGACCTGGACGGCCCTTCACCACGTGGCAATATGGGGCGGCGTCGCCATTTGGTTCCTGTACCTGGTGTTCACAAGCGAGGTCCGAATGCCCGTGTCGCCCAACATACACTCCCTGTTCGTCGGCATCGCCGCACCGTCCGCAAAATTCTGGCTCATCGTGGCGCTGTGTCCCGTCGCCAGTGTCCTGCCGGGATTCTTCGGCCGCAGCGTCCGCCGGTTGATCGCGCCAGCGGATCACCAGATCGTTCAGGAAATCGAGAGGCGCAAGAAAGTGGGCGGAAGGAAGCGGAGGAAGTCCAGCTCCGGGAAGACGATATCTTTGGAGCAGCTGCCGTCCATTGGAGTCAGGCACAGGTACTGCGAACGAGGGCATCCTATTGGCGAATTGTGCAATAGGCTTGGAATGTATCTTTGTGTGTGCCATGTCCTCATGCAGTGGCGGCGGTCATATGGAGGCGGCAAAGGCAGTACGAGCGACGTAGCAGGTCCCGTTTCGATCTGGATTGCATTTTTTAGCAATCTTCGTTGCACCTTGAAACAGGACGGCACCCGGGAGGTCTCGCAGCGGAATTTGATATGGGTTATATAATTATATAACATAATATATAATATAATTGACATACATTTATTAAGAACGTCTTTCGCGCGCAGCATCAGCCAGGGACGAAACAAACAGCTTCACTCCCGCGAACCTGCAAAATTCATTCAACATACGAAGGGGATTCTGTGCGTGGCTCCCTGATCGTGCCGGCGCACAGGCAAACGTATCTCTCATACTGTGCTGCCCACATCCTCACCTGTGAAATGACCATCCATAAATTTCTGTGCTCACATCGAGGCCATCTGCACGTGACTCCGACCGCTGACACTGCGAACGTCAATTGCAGGTACACAAGCACCAACCGCGGTTGCGTTCCCGGCGATGCACCAGGGAGCGCAAGCTATTTCACCCCGCAGACAACACTGGACCAGATGCACCACGAAAGTCACATGCACCCCGTCGTGGCCAAATTGGAGAAAGAGCTCAGTTTGAACCCCTACAGGCATCGCTTCTCCAACCTCTCAGAGGAGCACGGAGTGTGCGAAGATGTTGGCGCCTCGTCGCAGGTGCAGTTCTTCGATAGAGATCGCGTCCCCGTGAGCCAGGAATCGGAGGGGTTCAGGAGCAGGGAATCCCAGGTCGCACACTGTCCCGACCACCCTCCTTAGGACCTGCCGTAAAGTCAGCAGGGCAGCTGGTGGATCTTTGTGGTTGGCTGTTGATGGACGAGTCGGAAACGTGGCAATTGTATTCGGGCGTTCGACTGAGGACCCTGATGTTTGGGGCTTAAATCGGGGAGTTTTCGTCTCAAATTGAGAGATCTCACACCATTGGTAAATGGCGTTGCGGGCTAGCACCACAAAAGGAAGTGCATGCGGGACGTGAACATGGTCCAAGGCATCAATCCGATGCAGGTGGCTTATATGTTGTTCAGCAGGGATTGTGCACAGGAGGGGAACTTAGCCCCCTGTAACGAGAGGAATGAAGCATTTACCACAGTGTGTCAAAGGGTTTGCCTCGCGCCATTGCTTGACGTTGTGCATAATGGCAAAGGTGGCAGTCCACCACAAGAGGCGTGGCGCAGTAGCAACCTTGCTCTGTGACAAGCATTTCATTGGCGCAGCTGCCTTCGAAAGCAACTTAGAAAGGGCGAGACATGCAATAAGATGCAGTCTCAGAGCACGTGGGATTGCACCAGTGGATTCAAGAACGGGCATGTGCCAGCACAAGCCACTGTCCGAGAAAGTACAAGCATCTGGAATGACTTTCGTCCAACCACATATAGCAGTCCATCTACCAACGATTTCCTGACTTTTCATCCTGTGCCTACAATGATAAACTGAGTTTTACTGTATGTGCAAGGAGCATGCTGACACAACACAAGGACCTACCAGGGTGGTTGCCAACACAACAGCTCACAGTGGCATTCCTTGCAGCTGCCTGAGACATTGCATGGCCGTCCCCTGTGTGCGATTGCTTGCACACTCTATCTGTGCTCATATTCAGGCATGGTTGACGGTCCAGTTTCACTGCACAAGCAGAAAGAGCCAGGAGTTCAATGTCAGACGCCAGTGCCAACTTTCCATCCATAGGCTTTGTCCAACAAATTGAGTTCTGTTCAGCCATCGCCAACAGGCTAATTAAAGACCAAATGAAATAAGATGATAAAAATTGCAACATTGTGCTCCTGCAAAATCTGCCCGGGAGACACCTGCCTGGGGTTGGCGTGAAAACCCTGTGCACGTTCTGATGACTTTCTGCCACTGTCGCCATGCAATGGGTTCGATACCTGCGCCCACATGTCCTGTGTTCAGTGCCAGCAGATTGCTGGCTGGAACACAATCAGCCCAACGAGGGAGTTATGACACCTCACATTCCTATTCGCATTTGCCACCTTGTTTCCCGAACCAAGCCTGTCAACCTGCCCATGGCGACACACATCCACCCACTTATTTCATTCCCTGGATGCGGTGCCCAAGCCAGCCCGCAGGGCTGTGGTGGCATCACTACCCTAAAGAAAGACTGGAGGCGCCCGCTTCTTCAGCTTCCCAGGCAGCAGGAACACAAAAGCCACCTGCTTCTGCGCTCATCTCCGATCTACTGAAAGAAATCCATGTGCATCTGCGACTGGCTGTCCAGCAGTGTCCATATCTCTTCGCCAAAACACAGCCTGAGTTGTCCCGGGTGCCTGCAGGACACTGCTGGATACACCCTGTCTGGAAGGTTGGTGAAGGCCACACCAAAGTCTTCGCCATTAACACCGAACCCCAGCTCCCGTCGGTTCATGTCCAGCTTCACCGTAACGACGTGATCCTCCCTGAAGGGCGCCCCATACTTTTGCGTGTAGGGCCCATTGTCCTGCATCGTGGCGTGGCACAGGGAGCCATTGCTCCCAAACATCCAGCCTCCCGACTGCTTGCCCAGCCACTCCTCCATGTTCACTGTCTCGTCCACAACGCCCACCCACACAAGGTCGCAGTACTGTGCGATATGCAGCTCCCAGGAGTGCACGCCCGACGTGAAATGGAACCGAGTGCGTGCCCCCTGGTGCTTCGAGCACCGGAATTCACACACGTCCTGCTCGATCCGCACGCCACTGCCCCTGCAAGAGTAGTCCCAAAGCGTGGATCGCAGGGCCACCCGGGAGAACTGGCTGGCCTGGGTCCGGTAAGCGTGGAGCAGGCTGTCCATGGGCACCAGTTCCAGGGGCTCGATATGGGTCTGCAGGACGTCTGTGGGGATGCACTCGAAGCGCACGCCCATCAGCACCCGCGTCCACTCCTCCATCTTGCTGGCCCCATTCTGCTGCAGGACGGCCCTCAGGCGGGAGGCGTCCGCCTGTGACACCAGGGCGTGGCGCTGCTGCTCCCTCTCCGTCTTGGGGGACCCGGCCACCCCCAGGCTCCCCGCCCTGCCGCCCTCGCCGCCCTCATCGGCGTAGTTCTTCACCGCCCAGTGCAACACCATCCTGAATATGAGAAACTCGGAGGGCCTGCCGATGCGCAGCCTGGGGTGCATCAGGCAGAAGATGAGCGCATCCACGGAGAACCCGTCGAAGGCAATCTTGCCTTCCTCCAGCCCGCTGGACAGGACGGGCAGCATCGTCTCCGCCACGTCCGTGGCACGCAGCTGCAGCGCTGTGGATATCAGCGCGCCCACGTTGGCCCCGTCGCGCGCCCGCCGCACCAGAAAGTCCACGATCAGGCGCTGCAGGCCCGGCAGGTCATACTGCCTCGCCAGGTCATAGGCCTCGACGTGGGCTACGGAGTCGGTACCCAGCGAGGACACGGAGCAGGTGTGCAGGTAGTCCAGCACCAGGCCCAGGCTGGATGACGAGACGCTGCGCAGGTTGATCACCGCCTCCTTGGCCTCGCGCAAGTCGCCGTACAGCAGGCGGTCGAAGAACTCGCACCGCGCGGCCAGCAGGGCGCGGTTGGCGCGCACGCGCACGCCATCCTGGCACACGAACGTCACATCGTGGAAGTCGGGCCGGTCCCGCAGGCGGGCGACGTCCAGCAGGAGCTTGCGCTGCTCGTCGATGTCCACGGCGTCGCGGTATTCCGTCATGTGGCCGGGGGTGCCGCCGGGGGCGCAACGGGAAGGTGGGGGGATGGCCGGACGGCTTCTGCGAGAGGCTGAGGACGATCGGCCACGGGGACGGGGCGCCCGGGGAGCGCGCGGAGCGGCTGGGCAAGCGCGCGGGGAAGCCGCTGCACCGGCGGGTGGGCGCGTCGGGTACGGGAAGTGGGGAAAAGGGGGCCCCGGTCTGTGCGATCAGGTGTGAGCAGGTCGGGGAAGGCGGTTGTGGGCCCAGTTAGATGGACCCCACACTTTTGCTGCGAATTTCGTGGCCGCAGCTGGCTCATGGTCGATTTTTCTTTTTTCCCGTTCACCGTTGCTGCCACAGCGCCAAACTACTCTTTCTCCACGGTGAGTTGATGTTTGTCGGGGCGGCGTTGTTCTTCTTTTGGCGTCAGTGGCCCGGAACTGCCCATTTCGAAAGGGGCAGGAATCGACGGAATTCCGTCGGCAGTGATCGTGGCCGCAGTGTGGCCCTTGGGGGCATGAGCACAGTGAGTCGGCCGTCAGCCAGTCGCTGCCCGCCCTGCGCTCGAATCCGGCCCTCCAAAATCTCTGACAGGTCTATGGCATTGCGTCACCCAGTCAGTCACCATTCATTGATCGTGTCCACATTCAAGTGACTGGACACATGCACGAAAGAGAACCCAACAAAATTCAGCAGTCACTGCCGAGCAAACATTGTGCACCGGAACGTGCCTTTCAAGGGGCAGGCAGCGCCTCTTCTTTGCACCGCAATCAAAACAATAAGCAAGGAATCGCTCCCGAGACGATGTTAAGGCTCATGGCACACGCTGTTGGGACATTTCTGCGAGAGCTTTGCCATTCATGTCGCTTCTGCAGCGGAGTAAAGCGTACCAAAATCCACATAGCGTCTTCCCTAAGCACCTAGCAGCAATCACTGGGCATGCAGGATAACAGCGCGATCTCATCGTACAGTGAAAGATTGATTTGGCATGGCCTCACAGCACAGTGCGACGTGACAGTCTTCCAACCCACCTCAGGAATTGCCTTCTTCACACTTCAATACGTCAACTACGCCTTCCTTCTTCGGTCTCTCTCACCACAGCTTTTACGATGATGCTCATCATCGGCATTTCAGTCTGCAGTAAGCAATTTGAATCAAGTGATAGTCCCCGGTACGTACCGGTGTATACATCAGAGTTGATCTGCTCAAGAATTCGAGGTCCCATTTTGAACGATGAGCGGATGGGGTGGGGGGTGGGGTGGGGTGGGGTGGGGCGGGGGTGGGGGGGTAAATACGACAAACGGAGGTCATTGCCCTCTCTTGAAGCGGGACGATGGTAGCCGACCTCGCGACAGGCCTCCAAGGGTCGTCGTTTTGCACCAAGCCTCAGCTCTCATTGAAATCTTGTAACAAGTGCCTAGAATGCACTGATCCCTCAGCCCTTATTCTAAGCGGACTATTGACCAACTGGGCCAACTGGACGAAAACTGCCATGGGGCCAGCAGTCAGAATCAGGGTGGCAGCCCTCACATCCACACTGGGGGTTTACCACCGTTCTGACAGTACTCCGGGTGCATGGCCAGTTTTCGCGCACCCTCATCCCAACTCAGAAAATCACTGAGTCATCGATAATATTATAGCATTCATGCCATCGCACCGCACAGCTATTGGAGTCCCTTTCTCCAACATGGGCGAGGGATTTTATGCGTGTCTGGGGGAGGCCGCAGCCCCTGTCAATTTTTTTGCTCCAACCACAAATTCTTAAAAGGCAAGCTCGAGCTCTCAGCCATGCCCAAAGGAATTCATGCAGAACAGCATGCTGTTTGTTGAGCAATACTCAACGCCAGGAAGCGCTTCGCCAGCGCCAGGCAAACTGAGTTGTGTAAGCCATGGGCGTCATTATCATTCAAATGCGGTGATCAAGAGTACCATAAACTCCACCGAAGTGCCGAATTGACTCGTTCTGCGAGTCGGACGGGAGCAGTATCGTTTTGAGCAAAACCGGCAATGGTACCTTTTGGGTTGCCAGAACATTTGCGATGAAAATTTTAGGAATTGCGTTGCCGCAGATAGATATCCACAGAATCACATCTGTGCCCTTCCGGAGTGCACCACCCGGCGTCATATGTGACAAATTATGATCAATATTGTGAAACAACACAACAGTTCTTACAAGTACTAACCATTTGCCTGGATGACGCACCTTCCGATTCCAAAATAATCGGTTTTGACATTAGGAATCCTAACCAGTTTGTAGAGCCCGGTTGGATCTCGCATGTGTGGTACGGCCAGCTCACCGTCAATAGTTAGCAAGCCAACGTTTTTACGCAACAAACTCGTTTCCCGGCTATCACCGTTGGTATACGCGTTCAGTTCTTCAGCAATTAAATACGGTTATGCTCGTGAGACAATAATGCTGTTATTTTGTAGCATTCGTATTGTACGACGTTATGTGTACTTTTCACATATTTCTCTATGCAGTGAAGCAGAGTAACAGTGCAGTAATCGCCTGAACGGGAGGAGAGCCAGTCGCCAGCCTTCCGTTTGATCGATGGTCTCCGATGCCACCAGTGCATGACTTGGTTTTCAAAGCCAGACCTCTGGGAAGGCACGAAGTGCCTCAGACAAACATTCGAACACGGGCGCGCATCATTCGAAGACCACAACCTCAAATTTCGGTGGGAATTGGCGTACTCCTCCAGTTCCCCACGAGCGCAGCAGGCTGACGCACACGCGAGGACCGCCCGGTGGCCTCCAGGCGGGGAAGCCATGACAGGGCGCCTGGCGCGGCGCTGCACTTCTTCGCATGAACTTGTCGCTGTTTGAGTCCAACCCACTGCAGCCTGACCGCGGTCAACGGGTCGGTTGGGAGGAGGCATTCTCCGAGGCAGGAACCCGGCTGAAATGAATGGCCAGCGCCGCACACCGCGGTAGCTGCAGCTCAAAGGGACCAGCAGATCCCAGTGGCAGAGGGCAGGGCGTCCGCAGGAGAGATGGAGAAGGGGGAGGCGTGCTATGGGTCAGATCTGAACACCTTACAAGTTTGCGTGAGGGTGCGTGTTGTGGGAGCCATCTTCTGGGGGGCAGCCTTTGGCCACCCTAGAGCGTGTGCCGACTCGGTGTTGAGTCAATCGGAGACCCTCCGCGCATTGCGCTCGCCTCTATTTTGTGCACTTGTGAGGGGCACAGGGCCTGATGGCGGGGAGCGAGACTCGAGTCATTGCAATTGCTCGTCTTAGAATTGCTTTTCAGCAGTTCGACATGGAGCAGTCCCAACAAGGCATGCGGCTTTCAATGCGATTGGCAGATCGAACAAATGTCATTCAGTTGCTCCACCACACTTTTCTGACAACTGCACAAGTGGCCCGTCATTGAAGTTTCTTTCCAGCCTTCGGCTTCTTATTATGACTTCTGCAATATGCTGTAGGTGCGACCTCTTTTTCCAAGGGAGCTTGAGGAAGGCAGCAGGGTTTGCGTCCATTTCGATGAGCCCACCTCGCAAGTTGTCCTCACGGTAGGCGAATACTGATGGCAAAGTCTCTTGGTGCAAATCCCGAGAACTAGCTCTGCACCCTCTCTTCAGCATCGTGTCTATTAGGCCATGCGCGATACTCCAAATTTGCAGAGTCATTACATACTGTTGACTGTGTGCAAATTAGCAGGTAATTTTCATGTGCAGAATGCCTTGTTCATGGCAGATAAGATCTTCGTTCAATTTAGTCGCAGGGAGAGGGCAGGTGGAGCGGAGATCCTAAATTTGTACCAGTCGATGCACCTGTTAACGTGCTCCATCATCAAAGAATACATAGGCATGCTCACCAAAGAATACATAGGCATCGGACTATCAGAATTTTACGCTCCGGGTCTTGTGGATCAAGTAGTGGTCATCTCCGGATTGCTCAACATGCTTTGAACATCAGCGCCATGTCCGGATCAAGTTGAAAACTTAGATGCAATCAACATCCTAAGCAGGTCTTTGATTAGCGGGATATGGGGCCATCGAGGCTTCTTAATTTGGTGGAATGTGCAGTTTAGGCAGTGGACAAATCCACACTTCTTCAGCTCCGAGGTGCCACAGCGAGAGCGTTCTCCTTCGATCGATACTACGGAGTGGACTCAGTTTCGGATCATATATACGATGACTGTATTTCAAAGATGGTTGAGAATTGTTTCAAGGCAAGACAAGAATGACGACCTCACATTGCCACAACAAACTCAGAAAATTTTCACACGCAAAGTGCCTCGATAATACGAAAATTCGTATTCGACTGCGTAGGGAATTTGGGGCAGCTCCTAAGGGGCCAATTGCACAAAGGCGTCACACTATACAGAAGTATATCAATCAACACGCTCCTTTCTTTCTTACATTTTTCAACAGCTGCAGTGGATTTTATACGTACACGTGTCGCAAACGCAATTTGGCTAGAACAAGAACAGTGGCAGATATTCCTGTAAATTGGACAAGCATAGACCTGGCGGGCAATTGAATTGCTTTCCTCTAGTCAATGGCAGTATATGAATATTACGCTTTTCATTTATCAGCGCACATAGCAACAAAAACAGTAACAGCAAAATCTAAAGGATGTGTCTATGGCATGTCAAATATCTTCCTTGAGAAAATAAAAGGACATAAGAACTGGCCATGTGTACGTCTGCTGTCTGCTACTGCATCAGCGCCCTCCCGTTCAAGGCCTTTTTAGTATACCATCATTGTGTAATCCAATACATCCTGAGGACATGTCCGCACTTACATTTTTTACAGGTAACGAATATCGAATATCGCTTGCGGCTTTCTCTGGATGAAATATGCTTTATAATTATTTGCGGACATATTTGCAATGTGGTTCAGAGTCCCCGAGCTGCATAAACAAACGTGCTTTTTTGACGTACTTGGCGTTGGAGGGCTCATGTCATGCAACATCACACAGTAGGCGCACTGTAGTGTTTGTTTCTGAAACGTACAGGGATATAACGGGACGGTCCTCGCATACGGCCAGACAGGGTCAGGGAAGACCCACAC